TATCCTCATAACCCTGACCTAGGAGTTTATACTACTTTTAAAAGTCTTTAACTTTGGGTATAACTTCTGAATGGATAATGCTGAGATATTCCTTGTGATAGGGCCTATCTGTAGATCTCATGACCTTAGAGTTTGAATTACTTTTGAAGTTTTGATATAGCCTTCAACCTTGACCATGCTTTTTGAATGGTTATGCTAAAACTTTCATATTTTTAAAGTGTATTCCATTTTAAAAGACCTTTCCTTGGATACCAATAAAAACAGCTTTATCCCGATAATTTCCAATTATAAACCTGTCCAATGCTGTATGACCTTGACGTGAATTTCACCATCAAATATTCAAGGTTGTAACAAACTTTCAGTTTATAAGCAGTCTCGGACTTATGTAGTGGTCCAGCAAGTTTTGTTTCATTCCATTTAACAGTTTCAATGTTCCAAAACTACATTTCCTCTTACTGTCAAATACCTTGAAACAAGGTCAGAGGTCAAGGTCATAGTTATTTTTTTGTGAGGATAAATTTCACCTCCTGCTTGTCCAATCCGGATCATACTGAGGATCATATTTTTGTGACACCTTATTTTCATGAGATAGTCGTTGACAAAAGTTTCATGAGTTGTGATTATAAAGTGTGTAGTGTGTGCAGTGACCTTGAATCTAATACAAATCTTTGTGTAATATCCTTATTTTGAGCTATTATTTTCTATCGACCATTTTGGCTCATTTTTAGCTCACCTCAACGAAGTTGGGGGAGCTTATGTAATGCATCCCGGGTTAAGGTTAAGTTTTTTGGAGCAGTTTTCTTTTTAAGTACCTCTATGCCCTATATTGATTAGACCTGTATGGAAGATGTTTCTTGTGTGTTTCATTGTACCAGTCAAAGTTTCAGATGCTGCAATTTCAGCAAAGTAATGACCAGGTTAATGTTTTTGGAGGAGGTTAACATTTTTGGTGCAGTTTTTGGTATAGGTCTCATTTCCGAGTAACTATAAGCCCTATGTTGACCAAACTTGCATGGATGATACATCTAAGGATGCACACTACCAGACTTGTGTCTGATGCTGAATCTGACCTACATTTTCCGCATGAGTGAACATGTTAATGCTTTCGGTGTAGGTCTCATTTCCAAATAACTATAAGCACTATAGTGACCAAACTTGCATGGATGATACATCTAAACTTGCATGAGTGAACATTTTCCGGTTGAGTGAACAGGTTAAAGTTTTTGGTGCAGGTTTCATTTCAAAGATATTATGAGCCCTATAATGACCAAGCTTGCATGCATGGTGCATCTTAGGATGAATACTACCAGACTTGCTTCGGATGATGAAACTGACCTACATTTTCCGGTTGAGTGAACAGGTTAAAGTTTTGGGTGCAGTTTTCATTTCTAAGATACTATTAGCCCTATAAGGACCAAACTTGCATGAATGGTACATCTTAGGATGCATACTATCAGACTTGATTTGGTTGCTGAATCTGACCTACATTTTCCAGTTGAGTGAACAAGTTAAAGTTTTTGGTGCAGGTTTCATTTCCAAGTTACTATGAGCCCTATAATGACTAAACTAGTAGGGCTGAAACGATTCACCGAAATATCGATATTGTTCGATATAAGTGCTCGGTTCAATTTTCGATTCACCATCTCGATTTTCGGTTCGATACGTTTTTTTATAATCGGGTTTGGTTATTACTCTTTGAAATAGATCGGGTTCGAATTTTAACAGTTTGACACACACGACTTGCTTGTCACGGTTACCCCTTATATAAAAATACATTTTATAGTAGGGGTAACTTTATTAAAAGAAGATAAATATTTCGTGACAAGCCCCTGTGAGTAGGCTGCCTCTGTTATTATTTATACGAATAAAGTGTTCTTAATCAACAGAACCACAAGTATCAGAGATGCGCAATTAACAAATTAGTAAATTCGGGCTAGTAAAAATAGGGAATTTAAAATTTTTCAATGCACATTTTTAAAGCAGCTCAATATTAAGTAAACCGTCAGTCAAACGTTTTGATTGCAAAAAAAACTATCCTCTGCCACCTTTACTTCCAAAAACGATCGTTTTTTTTTTTCCTAATCCGAATTTCCTCTGTTTATTGTAAATACATGCAGATATCTCATTAAATTATTTACGATCACTCAATCAACTGAAAGATCAGTGTGATTCACATGAAATATATTTCTAGTGTATTTAAGGATTTAATATGAAAACAAAATGAATTTTTTTTCATTCTAAATGAGCTAGTGCAAAATAATCAGAAAAGGAAAGGTCTTCAGATATTTTTATTAAATTCATTTTTATTTTCTGTCATAATCATTAATTTTACATGATTTAATTTTAATAGTGAGAATAAAATTTTAATTTTCAAAAGATTGACCTTATACCCTGACTTTTTCAATGATTAATTTTTTTTTTACATTTGTTTTATTTTAATTTTTGTCCCTATATTTGGGCTAATAACTTTTTAAGTAACTTTAAAGTTTTTGAATTTTTAGATGCATACCCCTGGTAGTATATTTCATTTCCCCACCTTTTACTCTTTGTTTTTTTAAATCTGAATACGTTTTCTTTAACCTTATGAATAGTTTCGTTCTTAAATTGTATCGTATTGAAAAAATTGAATTGTGACACAAGTATTGCAATACGTATCGTATCGTGGAGGGGGCGTATCGTTTCAGCCCTATAAACTAGCATGGATGATACATCTTAGGATGCATACTGCTAGACTTGCTTCGGATGCTGAATCTGACCTACATTTTTGGGATGAGTGAACAGGTTAAAATTTTTGGTGCAGGATTCATTTCAAAGTAACTTTGAGCTCTTTAATAACCAAACTTGCATGGATTATACATCTTAGGGTGTATTCTACCAGACTGGCTTCGGATGCTGAATCTGACCTATATTTTCTGGATTAGTCAAAAGGTTAGTTTTTTATACAGGTTTCATTTCCAAGTAACTTTTGAGATCTATGTTGAGCAAACTTGCATGTGCAAGTGAGTTAAGGCTAAATATGGATATTTCTATGCAAATGAGCTAATAAAAATTCATAAATTGTATATTTTTGTGTACAGAGAAAGTTCAAATAAATTTTCTTGTACATACTTAGTACCCACAATTTATCAATGCAAGTGCACATTATGACGTCATTGTTCGCTCCCATTCAAGGTAATGAATAACATAAAAAAAATCACGTCGGCGCAAGGGCATATCCTATCTTATCTTAAATAAACAATGTATAATATTAACGAGAATTTTCTTAATATTAATAAAATTGCTGCACAAATCCTATGCACTTTCTCAATCGATAAAAATTTTAGGAAACTTACACTGGATTGTGAATTTTTACCTTGTTTAAACTTAAAACTGCACGAATAGTAACTAAACAATTGCAGTGCCGACATTTGTGCAGCAATATCTTAAATCCTTTGAATATCCTGCGTCTTTTTATACCTTGTTTTATACCTTGTTTTTGTTAAACAAAGTAAGGTCTGCCCTTGCGCCGAAGCTATTTAGCTGATGTTTCTTATAAACTTGTGTAGTACAGGTCGATGACGTCATAATTTGTACTGGCTATCGCATGTCGTGGGTTCCAAGAATGTATTAGAAAACAAGTCTTAACATTTTCTGTGCGGTAGGTAGAGCAATTATGGAATTTAATTAGATATTTTGCATATAAACCTCTATATGTAGCCTTAACTCACTTGCGTGGATGATACATCTTAGGATGCACAGTAATGGACTTGCTTCAGATGCTGAATTCCACATACATTTTCCAGATAATGGACCTGGCTGGTAAAAGTTATGGGTGCAGGTCTTTTACCAAGAAACTATAAGACTTATATAAACAAAACTTGCACAAATGATGCATCAAGGGATAAAAACTCTCTAACTTGCTTCAGATGCTGGATTTTAATTATATGTTTTCATGATGATGAACTTGTTTGAAGTTTTTATATAGGTCTTTTCCATAGTATCAAATCAAAATTGCATAAATTTTGCATTTTTGGATGTACACTTTTTGTTTGTTAATTGTGTGACTTTGCCTTACTTAAAGACAACATTTGTTGAGGTGAGCTCTGTAATCTCTGATTACCTATGTTTCACTCAAGAAGGGGTATGCAGTGTTTGAGACCCCTCCCCCCCACCGATTTCTATGAAAACTCATTGGTTATTCTCTGATCTTAGTCTGACTTCTATTCACATGTCACCAAATTCATATTTTTCTCTTAATGACAATAAAAATTAAGCCCTTTATTGTCTTTCTTTTACATATTGCATCACTCTCCAACACAGACTGTGTGCTTCAGTCCTCATTGAAGGTGTATAAGAAGAAATGTCACAGGTCTTTTGGATAAGGCATAAAAAAATAATAGAGAGGTTTCATGCCTACTGAAAAATGAATAACCTCAATACCAAAAGTAACTATGCTGGCATTAGATTTTGGACATGATGAAAAAAGAACTTGTCTTGAAACTACCTAGGAAAAAGAAAATATTTACCCAATGTCAATGGATATAGGTCTTGAGAAGTGCTGAGAAGAGAAAACTGAACTTTCTTAAATCCTTCTTAACAAATGTACCCCCCCCCCTCCAAAAAAATCTTTAAAATATTTCATTTTAGATGTGAGTTAATTATTTTAATTGATTATCAGGAAGGACTAGTTGTTATGGAAAGAAAAGCCTATCATTTTAATTTTAGGTAGCAATTATTATAGCATAAAAATGTCCTTCTTTTAATTTGTTTTCATTCTACAAAGTTTCCCACAAAAATCATCAATATCTGCTATCGATTTTTAACCTTTCATAGGGGATTATTTTTTTTATTCTAAAATCAATGTCTTGAAGCAGATTCAAAGCTTTGTGTGTACATACATGTTGTCTTTCTGCTTGTATCTAGAAAATTCTGGATTTTACAGAATTTAAATTTGAATAGAATTGAAATAGAAATGGAGTCTGGTTTATACATATTCCCTGTTTTTGTTATCTACCAGATTTCAACAACATGTTTTGGATATTAGAATTTGCACGGAGTTATTAATCCTAAAAGGATATACCGTTGAAGAATTTAAAAACCATTGGTGTCCCTAACAATATGTGCCGAGATATGACAGAAAGATTACGGTATTTTCCCATTAGATACAAGGAGGCAAAATGAACGTCTAGTGTCCAATGCTTTTATAATGTAGAAAATGCCAATATCTCGTCACAGAAAGAAAAATTGATTTCGGAAATTAAAGAAAAGGCAACTAGGTGCTCCTGGAATTTGTTTCATGTGGACTGCTAAACTTGCTTTGCACGGCTGATCTTAGAATGATGGAAAATTAGAAAATTTCATTATGGAAAAATTAACTGCATGTTTTATTCACTCTAGATTTAATCAAAACTTGAATGATGAACTGTGTATATTTGATAAGCTAGAGAATAGTTGTTCAGACAAAATTTTCTAGCACTATGACATGACAACATATGAAGCTTTGGACTGTTTTCTATGTAAATGTGCTGTACATTATGTACAGTATTTAGACCTGTTGAAAGGTGGTGCAATTAAAACAGGTAATGGCTAATTAAATTTGAATCAGAATTTACAATTATATTAATTTTTATTACAAATGATATGTATAAGAGTTAATATATGCTGTTCACTGAGGGCAAGCATTTTAATAAACTTGTTTCAGGGCTATTTTTATGTTTTTGACTCTAATTAATATGATTTCCTATCATAGAGAATATATACTTTAAAAGGATCAAACTTGCTTTGAAAAAAAGGGACCAGTTACAAAAAAAAAAAAAATGATTTTGTGAAATTTCATTTTGTATATAATTATGATGATTCTAATTACTACATATTCTCCTTCTTTATATGAAAACCTGTTAATGGACTAATATTTGGGATTTTTCGTTGGCAAATATATTGGGTCACCTTTGTTTAGAATGACCAAACCATGTAAAATTAATTCTGGAATGTATCTGTAAGGTATCAGTTAATTCAGTTTAAAATCATGCAGCTCTTTGTTTTTTTAAAGTTTAATGTTGCATTTAAAGGGGAATAAATCTTGATCTTTACTCCTTTTTAGATTTATGAAGATTTATAACTTAGAATGTAAGGTAGTTGAAAGAAACCTTTTGTGCATATGAAATAAAATTTGTTCTGATATTCAGTTAGATAAACTCTGGAGTAAATGAGCTTTAAATTTAAAAAGACTTTAAAAAGGGAGTGAAATTAAATATATGAAAGGTCTGAAGTAAAAGTTAATGATTTTATAAATGGTCAACAGCTGTGGAAATTTAATTTCTTGTCTATTTTATTACGTGTAATAATTTGGAAGAGTGAAATTCTAAAGATATGAACAATACCTAAAAGAAATGTGAAAAACAATTCTATGTTCATGTCTTTAAATTGATCTCAATCCTGATCAACAACTTATCTTACTGATAGTGATAAGTTTGGATTAAAACGTCAATATTACATTAAAAAATGGTGTAAAATTATCAATTTCTAAAAATTACAAATTAATTCCTTTCAAAGTACAGCATATAATTTTTAAAATATTTAAAATAATTAATCTCTGTAGAATGAAGCCTTTGACACCCCCCTCCCCCCCCCCAAAAAAAAAAGAACTGTTACATTAAACAAACAAGATAAAAATCAAGACAAAATGAAAGAAAAAATTCATTGATAGTTTATAAAAGTCAGATATCTTTTTTCTTAACCCATAGTGATTTTGTGAAACATTAATCAAATAGAACCTGACATTGTTGGGTTCTATTGATGAAAAAGTTAATTTCTGTATTTATTCTATTTGATCTTAAGCATTCATGCATTTGTTTGTAACTTACAAGAAATATTTTATGGTGCTTCATTTTTGTGCCTAGATCTTATGTTCTTAGTTACCGCATTGTAAAGAATTAAAAAAAAAATAGCTGTCTAAATCAGAAGTAGGTCAGAGTGACCCCATTCTGGGATCAATATGAATTACATTTTGATTATAGGGAAATGTTGGACAAAATTTTTTAATCCCTCTTTGGATATAAAAGCTTATCCTTTAATGGTTCTTGTGAGAGTGCTGCATGTGTCACCTTAAAATGGGAAACAATGACTAGAAAAAGCACAATAACATACAGGGGATATCTTTATATTTTGCTCTTGTAATTGCAGGTGGGAATGACTTGGATGAACAAGTTAAACTTCAGCAGGCAATGCTCAGAAGACAAGAACTTCTAGACAAAATCAGAGTGAGTACATTGTCCAAAAAATTATAAATCAACTCCATTTTTACCTGTAAAATTTTTAAATCAGCATGTAAAATGAATTTGTCATTAAAGTATAGGTATTTAAACATGTTTCCTCACAAAAAATTAGAGTACCTTACCAGGCATTAAATCATATAACCCTTATGCATGGTACATTTAAAATCATTTTGACACAATTTTTGTGTACAGAAGAGAATGTGTTTTTTATATAAAACTAAAATATATTTGAGCTTTGTGTTTAGAATTTTAAGTAATTATATGTATTTTTAGCATGAACAGTTAGTCAATGAGGATTACGGTCGGCGACCCAGATCTCACAGTGCTAGACGACGCTACACACCCTCCCCCTTACCGCCCCCACCCTCCCGACGCTCACTGCCAGACTTCAACCGGAATCAGTCATTCAGAGACGACAACAACAACCCATACAGAGATAAAGGTGAGGACTGTTTATAAACAGCAGAGGCAAAGTTACGGAGGCTAAGGCTCCCATAATGCTTTCCATGGTTCTATTTTTCCAGTGCAATTTTCCATTGGAATTGAATGTACTTGTTCCATCCTTCAAGTTCTCTTACTTCATGAAAATGCCTCATATTCACCAAATAATGTGAATAGGCCATCATAAAATTTTCTTTTGGAAAAATTGATCTAAAAAGTTAATTTGCTTGATTTATCTTTAGCCTCAGTGTGTACATAAATGTTATTTTCAAGAGTTATTTCCCCTTGCTGAAGAGTGTACATCCTTAACTATAAGCAGGAAAGGTAGATTTGTTCCATAATAAAGAATTTTAAGTTGGTCATATATTTATATTAAAGGATCTCCATGCAATGTGGAATCTTGTTATGAAAGGATTTCTTGGGGATGGATGGGGAGGGGGGGGGGCAACACTGGGTCAAATTTTTTTCATGTGAACAAAGGTGGGAGGTATCTTTTTCATTTTTTTTTCCTGGAAAAAAGAGGAGCCAGTATGACTAGGGTGAGCATTTTGGCCCACTGGCCTCATTGTGTAGTCTATTATAAGGGTTAAACGTATTTCAAATATTCTACTCATCGGGCAATTTCAAATATTATATAAAAAGTTCTTTTATACTTTATACAATGAAAATTCAAGATACTGAATAGCAAAGAAAGAGAATTGATAAATATTTATCTCTGGTGTCATAAATGCATGGATTTATTATCAAATTTAAATGACATTGAAAGACCTTGGTAATTACTACTGGCATTGGGTAAAACCCAAGAATTGAAAAATATTCTTCATTTATGTGCATATATGAAGACATTTCAATGTGCTCTATGATGCAGACAATTGCATTGGTTAAGGGCAAGAATAAGTTTGAGATCCACTTTTATATTTATAACTTTAGCCTACTTCTTTTGATATGTCATTCTTTTGATGATGTAAAGAATTCTGCATAGTGCATGTCTTGGTGCAGAGGCAACAGACCAATGTTAAGATTTAATGTTTACTCAACAACGGCTTATAGAAAATTTGCATTGAAATTCTAAAATGACATTTTCTCTACCCTATATGAACAACTTCAACTCATGTTGGTTCCAATTTACCAAGCATGTCAAGTCTGTTTTACAGACATAGGAATCATTTAATTCTGCTTTTTCCATTTTTCATAATTCCAAATTCCTGTCAGAAAAATACAAACTTTTTAAATATTGTATTGTTTTCATCTATGTGTACATCTATGGTAATACATTCAACAATTTAGATAATTCAAAATTGAGATGCATTTAATACAGAACATTAAATAAAATTTACAAAGAATGATCAAAGGATTTTTTTTTTAAATTTTGTCTACAGCTTCAATCACTAATGCATAAATCTTTTTTGTAGTCTTGAAAAGAAATTTGACAAATTTCTTCTTTTTTTCTTATGAACTAAGTGACTTCCTTTGACAAAGACATGTGTCATATTTTTTAAAGCTTTGATGTTAAAATAAATAAAATTAAAAATATATGCCTTTCTTATTATATCATGTTAATAGGTACATAGTACTACATACATATATGTTGTGAAGTGATTCATCATAATATGCTTAAAGAAAGAAAATTATTAATAAAACAAAGCATGAAAAAGATATAAAATCACATCTATCAAATTTAAAATAATATATTCTTTCAATCCATGGTATTCCTTAATTATTCTAATGCAATTGTTTTGTAAAACACTTTTTGATTGGCTAATGCACTGATGTTTTTTTGAAGCAGTATGCCAAAAGTAATTTATCTCTTTCTGAGGCCAAAATAAAATTATAGTTTGTTTGGAATTGCCCCCTCCTGAAAAAATTTTATTGAAAGCTTTTTATCATTGTGAGAATTAGGTTTTATTGTTGCGTCATACTTTTTTTAAAAGTAAGAAAATGTATACGTATTTACTGTTTACTGGGATTTTTATAAAAAATTTAAAATTTATCTTCAATGTGTCTCCCTTCAGTGACGTATATAGTACATTTCTGTTTTTTAAAACCACAATATAAATTATTGCGTCGTGTTATTTGATATATAACTCAGTTTTGTTGTTTAAGGTTTCGTAAACAACATGTCAACAAAATGCCATATGTGGGGTATAAGCAACTACATTTTAATTATATCATTGATTAATAGTTTTATTGGAAAAAAAATTCAAAATATTTATTGAGAACTTCTTAAAAATGGTATATTTTCAAAAAATACACCTAATTAATTTCACGTGAAAACCATTATTGCAGAAACAAAATATGTTTATCAATGAAGGGCAAGTTGGACTTGGATGAAAGTTTTTTCCCTGTTTATTTTGTCCAAATGTTAAGACTTGAAAGTGAAAGTACATTGCAAATGCCAAAAGTAATTTTTTTATCTCTTTCAATAACAGCCTTTCAGGACCATATCCAACTTGATATAAACATGTACATTTCTGTTTTTTGCATAATTAAAACAACAATATAAATTAATAAAAATATTTGTTATCAAGTCGTGTTTTATTTGATATATAACTCAGTTTTGTTGTTTAAAACTCTTAAATTTATTTAAATGATTTTCTCACTGGTCTCAGAAGGGCCTTCTCAGGTGTGAGTAACGCATAAGATTTCATATCTGAGTAATGAATAAAATGGCTCCTCGAATTGCCAAAGCTTTCATGGGTTCTCTGTAAATAAAAGGCAAAAACCCCTTGTCCCACACTGAAAAGGCTAATTCAATTAAATTATTGAATTTATTAGCTTTCCTGAAGAGAAAAATAAGAGCTAATACATGTCCATCATTCAGTGATACTTGAATTAATGTTGTACTTCAACAGTGGGGTATGTGTATGTCAGAGTCAATGATATTGCAATTTCAGTTGAGAGTTTTTAAAAATATTCTTAACATTTTAAGTGAGATAATAGATATTAGGTGTTATCTGTAAAAAGGTGGTAATGTAGGTATTCATCATATTCAATAAGCATAAATGCCTCCATTCACCTGAAAAACGGACTGTATTGAATGTTGTATTCTTTACATATCCTGTATTTATTTGTCATTTAAGAAACTCCATTATAATTGAGGTGGAAATCTAGAGAAATCAGACCTTTGTGAATTTCTTCACAGTATGTAGTTCTAAAGAAACCCAATAGTATATGCTTTTGATCTTCTTTTGTCCTTTAAGTGAAAACAGAATATTTGTACCAAATAAAGGGAATACAACACTCGCTGGCATAACCTTTTCCTTTAGAAATATTCTGCCATGGCGACCAAAGAAATGACTCCAATGTTCCGCAAACAAAATAACTTAAAGGCTTTGACACTGGCGTAAAGTTTCCAGATTTTAAATGCTAAAGCTGAAGTCATTTTGCATTTTTAAGTTCCATTAGAACATCAGATTTTTTTTCCATCAGAATTTAATAGGTGTCTTGCACTCTTGGATTATTGTTTTGGCATTAACCTTCCATATTCTAAGAGAGGCATCAAAGTTGGAAATATTTTTTCTCCCCCAAAGGAGCCTCTTTTTAAAAACCATTGAAGCAAGACTGAAAAGAAGTAAAATTCATTTTCAAACTTGTTGAGAGCTGTTTGTGAGTCGTCTATCTAAAGAGATAGTCACCATCAGGAGTGTGTAAGAAATAGTTATTTCTTTTCAACATGCCACTAATGGCATGGACAGTTGGCTGATTGAAACTGGGGATGATATAGTGAGAGATTTTGTCCAACATGGTCAACTTGACCAAGGTAGGGATTTATTTATCAAACATTTGTTATGGAACTGGTTTCCATGGTTACATGAAAGTTTGATATCATAAAGAAAAATGTACTCACTTGGGAATGGAATTAATTAAAATTAATTTAATTAATTAAAATGAATGGTATGTTATAAATCTTGATTCTCTTTGGAATTATATAGTTCAAAGGGATAAAACATTTATTATTGGTACATGTATATATACCATTTTCCCAAAATGCATGCATGCATCATTGCATTACATAAACATATTTTATCCAATTATTTGTAATCAGAGTGAGTTGACTTAAGCTGCACTATTCTTGAATTCAAAGGATTGTGTTACAAGTAAAAAGATAGCAATTCCTGTCATTAAGCTATATTAATTTTTACTTTTAAAGAGTTAGCATATGATGTACTCTGAATTTTTATGTCCACCTTGATCAATTGCTTTCTCTCTCTCTCTCTCTCTCTCTCTCTCTGAAGAGGAAAGGCTTTAAATTATATATATTTTACTTAGAGCTGCCCTTGTTTTATTATTTATGAAGAGAAAACATTGTTTCTTTCTATTGAAAAAAAAGGGAAATTAAAGAATAATTGTAGATTGCAGCCTTTCATATTTTTAATAACCTTACTGTATATATATCTATATTGAGATAGATAAGAATTTGTGGAGGGATAAAATTAGTACATTATAATCAATAATATCTGAATTGATTAATACACTAATGAAGCGGGTAGTACTTGATCTGTCGATGAATACATATTGATGATAATCATTATACTGGTATAATGGCATTGACTTTTCTGGCTTCTGTTTTGAAAGGATAAGAATATGCATTTTAAAAGTAGTTGTCATTTACTGATTATATTTGACCAGCTATTTTATAATATTTGCAGGAAAACAAAATAGAAAATAGAAGCAGTGACTATTGTCTGAAGTACTATAAAGATTCTGATAACTATTGAATAATTTTTTTTCAGATATGCAACAGGTGAAGCATATAATAGAACACAGAGTCAAAACTCCCCCACAGTACCATCTACCACCCATACAGAACCCCCCTCAACTGCCCGTGGTGGCTAACCCCCAGTCCTACCCCCAACACATCATCCAACAAGTTCCTCAACCTGTTGTTCAGAACTTGGTGCCAGATCAAGGAAGACAAAGCATGTTCAACAAAGGAGGTGGGTTGATTTCTGGATGATTTTTCCCCCAATGCAGCTCTCTCTCTCTCTCTCTCTCTACCTACTAACTCAATTTGTGAGAGGGCAACCAAACATCAATATTTTAAAGATGGCCATAAAGAAAGAGAAACTAGAAGTTATTATTTTTTGGGTCTTTCAGATTGGATGGAGATGATGATGATGCAGAACCATCAGATGCATCAGTTAGTGGTCCAACAAATGATGTTACGCAGTCTGCCAGGAGGCAGTTTGGCTCAGGCCCCAGTAACATACATGTCCGAACCTGCAGTTGTGGTGAGTTAATATTAGTCCATGAGCCACTGGGGGTGGTCGGTACCATTTTGGGTGAATAAACTTTATAGTGATATTTGGTGAGGTGAGGTATACCCCTAACTAGTGAGAAAATGTATGATAGCATCAAATCTGTTGTGGCTTCAGTGCTGGAGACACAGTTATTGCCCTTTATTTGCTTAAATTAGGTATTTTGAGCAAAATATATTTGCAACCTGCAAAGTATTTGTCACACAGTTGCCAACCGTGATAGAAAGTTCTACCAGAATTACTCCGAGATACGATGAACATATTAAAAGAGCATTAAATGACTTTTTAGCCTTGATTCTAACAAAATTATTATATTTTTACCACTTTTATTCAACAATTACATGTACCTCAAAAATTTGTATAAAGAAAATGATAAGTACCAACGCACATATACTAGTTTAGTTATTCGTCCGTCGATGACGACGATGACCACTGTCTCATCTTCGTTGGGGAGGGGGTTAACCTGGACGGTGGGTGCGGAGATGACTGGTCAGGCCCGTCCTTGCACAAGCAGATGAAGGAGTTTTTCGACTAGAGCCACGCCCCCTTCTTTGTAAATCTCAGCTTGGAGTATCCGCCAGGTGCTTTGCCAGTTGACAAAAGACTAATTGCTTTTTGGATCTCATCCAACGTGGGAACGGCGTCCAGTGACTGGTTGATGGGAACCTGGGCAGTCGGTTGATGGATTCGTCGTTCATAGTCAAAAGGCGGTTCAGAACGCCATTGAAATGTTCCGCCCACCTGTCAAGTATCTTTTCCTTCTCTGTGATGAGCGTTAACCCGTCATCACTGAGGAGAGAGGACGAGGCTGACGGAGTTGGCCCTTAGACTTCCTCAAGTCTACAGTAAAAGTTTTTCCTGGTCCTGTCATGAGATTCGGCATAGCATTGGATCTCATCAGCTTTGGCATTCAGCCAGGATACTGCATATCCCGAAGCTTTTGCTGTACTATGCTGCCAGCGTTCCTCAGAGCGTCTTTTTGGCTGTGGAGGTGGGATCATCTATATAAGCCTTGTAAGCGCGATATTTGTCCTCTAGAAGCTACGTGATCTCGACAAGGTTCTCATCAAACCAGTCTTTGTGGGGTTTTTTTTTGGTGGAGGGCCCAAGACACTCGAAGGCTATATTGTACACTGTATTTCAAAGTGTGTTCCATGCTGCTTCCACGTCGTAGTCATCCAGCAGGGTGGAGTTCATGCGTTCTTCCTGGGTGTCAGCAATGTACTGAGAGGTGTAAGGCAACTTCAGCTTACCAACGTCGAGACGTTTTGAAACCAGTCTCCTGAGGACATATCCTGAGTTTGATCGGAAAGTTGAGAGGTGAAGTTTAGAGACTGTGAGACGATGATTTGTCCAATACTCCGTGCCGCAAATGATGAACAAACGAACTGTCTGTCTGTCTCTCTTCCTGACAATGACGTAGTCCTGATCCTTGTTTTCTACTTGTTCTCTTTGTTATTTCGACCGCATGTGTAGGGTCCCCACCAGCCACGGTAAACTGGCTATGGAAGGGTGGAGCAGGCAACATTTGGAATACCTTGTTTAATCCGCTCCTCTTGCCATGGAGGTGAGCAGTGCGTTCCTAAAGAGGGCTGCTCAGTCGCACAGGTGGCTGCCGAACTCCAACGCTGCTCTAGTCGGAGAAGAGCGGCCGTATGGCCTGTGCCGCCTGTGTGCAGGTCTGCATCTACCGACTTCCAGTGAACCCGCACCTGTCACATTTCTTGCTCGCTTGTCACCACAGGGCTTTGGGGTGGATAAAAGAAGGGATGGAAGATGATCAATGACTTGCGCGATGAGTTTGATTAAAATGAAGAAGGGTTGCGCTTCGCCGACCTCACTCTCTCGCCCGCAACCATTTATATCCAGTGGCAAGACAGATGTCAGGACGTCTGGAGATGGAGACAGATACAGCGGATGACCAAGACGTGCTATATGTGCCTTGGCTTGCTCCAAGCATTCCAAGATGCGTGCTGTGTCTGCCTTCTTCTCCGTTGAACCATGACGTTTTCCTCCGCAGAGTTCGCCTGTACACAGTCTTTACATGCGTTATAGGTAGACAAGCCCTCAATTAACAGGGTTTGAGACCCGTCAGTGCTTTGTGTAGAGAGTGCTCTCCTAGAGGGATCTCCCTTAAGAGTGTACAGGTTCCCTCTACCCGGACTAGTGGAGGGAAGGGGCTTCAGGCCATTGCAGGTAGTGAGACACAGCCCACTTCCCACAAAGCACATATATGACTGTGCACATATGTTGCTTAATTTTGATGTCAAAAATATTTAATATATTACGTTTAACTTAGATGAACATACAAGTGTCCATTATCACCATGTTTTAGCATGAGATTAAATAAATAAAACATTTTACGTAAAGGTCTGACATATTCACAATATCTTTGTTAAGTAAATAAAGAATATACGCACAGGGTAAATCAAGGGAATTTTCCTTCAATTTTCAATTTTAGGATAGGGATAAAGATTTACTTTTAAATCAAGTTATATATATTTGTTACTGAAATAATGTTTTGAAATGCTAATAAAAATTCTTCAAATAAAATGACCATGCAATATTTTTTGGTGTGAAAAGTGTCACAGTAGTTATTTCTTTTCTTTCATCAAAATTTCAAAATTACGTATTCCACTTTTATGATCAAGGGTAAAATTATATTCCTATATAATTTAGACGGCTCATTACAGAGCCAATATTGAATAAAAACTGAACAGGGTAATAACATGGTCTGCATTCAAAAGAATTTTCAAGAAAATATCATCCGAAATAAAATAGAAATTGCGTATTGAAAAACCAACCTTTTTCTTTCAAAAACACAGCTGGGAGAAAGAACAAGTTGGGTTGGTGTATATAAACAGTTGATACACCATTAAAGCCACAATCAATTGAATGCTATCATACATTTTCCGAAGGTAGAGATGTATGTCTTTCAAAAATTAACTATGAAAATTATTCACCCGAGATGGTACCGATACCGAAAAATTCATGGCCTGGCTCATGGACTATATGTCCTTTTGAAGACTCACAAGATCATTTCCCGTACAATTATTTTCGTTCTAAATGTAAGAACTTGAGCAAATCTTCATGAAGGGACATTGTCTATAGCCCACATTTATACAAGTCCATAGTTCAATTCAAACAATTTTTAGCTCACCTCGAAGGAAGTCGAGATGAGCTTATGCTATACCGTCGGTGTCGGCGTCGGCATTAGCGTCGGCGTCCCAGGTTAAAGTTTTAGGAGCAAGTCCGTTCCCAAGTAACTATAAGCCCTACCTGAACCAAACTTGCATGGATGATGCATCTAGGGATGTACACTACCAGACTTGCTTCGGATGCTGGATCTGACCTACATTTTCTAGATGAGTGACCAGGTTAAAGTTTTTGGAGCAAGTTAAAGTTTTTGGAGCAGGTCCATTCCCAAGGAATTATAAGCCCTACCCAGACCAAACTTGCATGGATGATGCATCTAGGGATGTACACTACCAGACTTGCTTCGGATGCTGGATCTGACCTACATTTTCCAGATGAGTGACCAGGTTAAAGTTTTTGGAGCAGGTCTATTCCCAAGGAACTATAAGCCCTACCTGGACCAAACTTGCATGGATGATGCATCTAGGAAAGGACACTACAAAACTTGCTTCGGATGCTGGATCTGACCTGTATTTTCCAGATGAGTCACCAGGTTAAAGTTTTTGGAGCAGGTTCATTTCACAGGAACTATAAGCCCTATTTGGACCAAACTTGCATGGATGATGCATTTAGGGATGGACACTACCAGACTTGCTTCGGATGCTGGATCTGACATACATTTTCATTCCCAAGTAACTATAAGCCCTATTTGGACCAAACTTGCATGGATGATGCATCTAGGGATGGACACTACCGGACTTGCTTCGGATGCTGGATCTGATCTACTTTTTCATTCCCAAGTAACTATAAGCCCTAGCTAAACCAAACTTGCATGGATGATGTATCAAGGGATAGACACTACCAGACTTGCTTCAGATGCTGGATCTGACCTACATTTTTATTCCCAAGTAACTATAAGCCCTAGCTAAACCAAAATTGCATGGATGATGTATCAAGGGATGGACACTACCAGACTTGCTTCAGATGCTGGATCTGACCTACATTTTCATTTCCAAGTAACTATAAGCCCTAGCTAAACCAAACTTGCATGAATGATGTATCAAGGGATAGACACTACCAGACTTGCTTCGGATGCTGGGTCTGACTTATATTTTCAATACAAGAGACCAGGTTAAAGTTTTGGGAACAGATCAATCCGAATGAACTTGGAAGTCCTTGATTACTGCAGTATTAACAGTTATGAATATTTGTTTACACCATACATGTTTTTCACGCTACACACGTAGAAATGTGTATATGCCATGAAAGGGGTTAAACACAACTTGCAAGAATATTGTTTTTTGGGATGAATACTAAATATTAAGAAAATTTGATGTGAGATTTGTATTGTACTTAAACTGATAACATTCGTCGAGGTGAGCTTCGTAATCTTTGATTACCTATGTTTTTGAAAACCAGTGCCTGCATTTTCCTCGAAAACTTCAATAAACCACTGGTTTGTGGTTTGCAAAGAGACTGCAGAATATCTAATGCTCTATGAAATTATTTCTTCTTAAAATTGCATTTCGAGCAACCAATCATATTGTTACAATCAGCCAATCGAATTTTTTTGTTTCAGAGGTCTCCTCCCCCTGCTGTCCATCATCATCATTACCAGATGTCCCCGCCCCCTCAGCCCGCTGTTCATCATTACTCCGCATTACCTCCCCTTGAGCCGTAAGTATCTTATTGTGTAAAATAAACGTAGTTCTTGAATTGCACTAAAAAACTTCTGAGTACTGTTAAATTTTGAAAAAAATATAATGAACTAAATTATAAATTAACCTAATCTTTGTGGATAACAGCATTTAATTCATTGTACAGTGTACTAGGTATATAGATATATATGTTGTATATAAATATGTTTTCTGATCAGAAATGGCCGAGCACCACCTCCACCAGGGTAGGTCACTCTGTCGGGAAAAGGGTCATGTATGAAATGATGGGTGTCTCTTGGACTCAACTTCCTTTATTATCTTGCATCTACTATTTTCCAAGTGCACTTTCTTATACATAAATATATACATTGCATCCATTATTTTTAAAAGTTCATTTGATCTCCCAGTTGACTTGTCTTAATGAGGTGGATGGTTATTTAGCACTTTGCCAGCTAGGATATATCTTCATACTTTTTATGGAAAATCTTTGAACTGATAAATTTTTAGCAGTTTATAGTAAAATTGATAACTTTCAAATTAATCAAATAAATTGGATAAAGAGAAAAATAGAGAATTGAACAAAAATATGTCCACATGTTTAATGACACCCCTCATGTAGAAGTCATACATGCTGTATAAAGGAATCTTGAGCAATCTTCTGGTTCATAGTCACTTTCCTCCATTCCCCTTTCTGTATATATCTACATCTTTATATTCTGCCTGATGAAATTCTTATATATAGCATACATGTAATTCTACATAAATGAAAATTCTTTGAGGATTCCAAATTCACGCAAAAACCATGAATGAATACAGAAAAAATTAATATAACACACTGAAATCTTCCAAGCATTCACTATTGTATGACCCAAGGCCTACATTGCTTACCTGTTTCTGTTCTTCTGTTATAAATAGAAATATATGGCTAGAAATATGTTTATTGCTCATCAGGAACTGCTCTCAAAATAGTGTATTATTTATGGATATAGAGAGGCATTTTTCTTGGACATTAATTTTGATTACTGATGGTAAGATACAAGAAAGAAAAGGATTTGTAGATGAGAGTGCAGGTTAATTGTAAGTGAAAATAAGATTGCACTAACTTATAGATTTTGGGCTTTTAAGGTTAACATATTATGTCTTATATGATGTCTTTTAGATTATAACAGTTAAATAATTAAATAGAAATGTGCAAATGTAATTTTAATTTCTTTGACTGGTGCTCTCAAACTGGTCTTTCTTTTAAATTTTGATCTGAATCTCGTGTGTATTTTCTTTTACAGGAGAATAGTCTCCCCAGTGAGGGGTGAGTTACAAGGCTATCAGCCTATTTACTACCAATGATTTCACCAAAACACCTTGGTAGAGTATTATTTGAATTTACTATTTATTTTTTTTTTATCCCCCTTCCCCTCCCCTAAATATCCTGGCTGCTCTAGAAATCATAATTCTCTTCATAGTTGAATGTTTTGACAGTGGTTGGTGGTGCATATTGCATGCATGGGTATTGCATTTGCATGAAGGAAACAATTGTTCTTTCATTTCAAAAATGAGAGATGCACTACATCTGAAAGATTGCATGCAGTTAACTTCATGGCAGGTTCACACGAATAAGCCTTAATTGCTTCAAAGTGATCAAGAAGTTTCTCTTGAACTCCTTGTAACAATCTTGAGATAAAAAATGATGATAAAAAATGAGCTAGGTTACATTCATTATTAAAGGCATACAAACTCATTTTCATGAAATTAATTTAAAAATTAACAACAGATATCAAACATAAACTCCGATTAAAAAAAATGTGATCTAGTCCATAGGATAATTTAACCTTGACAAAAACAGCCTCTATTGGGGTGTACGGTAGTGATGGTTTAATTCTAACTAATGTCTTTCTACTTTGCCTTGCTAACCACTAACTTTGCAAATCGGATGCTTCATCACAACAGAATGATTGTTGCACGTATGTTTTCACAGTAAGTAACATATTTACTAACCCATATATTTTAGAAGTTTATGATAATATTATAGTAGTTTAGATGTTTGATAGCTGTACCTAATGCCTAAATTGTTCAAAAATTGAAATGTGTAGAATTCGAAGTAATCTTTATTTGAAAATTTGACCATTAACCATTTATGAGAACATATGGTACAGGTATTCAAGTGTCATTTTAGAAGCCTTCTTAAAAAAATAAGTAATAATATAAGGTAAATTTAAGCTTCTTAAGCTTCTAAATCAAACATAGTTCATGTAGTAAGGAAAAAAACTGTATTCGACCCTATGAGCATCCTTGGTGATTAAAATTTAAATCAGTGCTTTTGTTGGGCTTCATTATGCAGAGTTAATGTAAAAATCAAGACATTAAAGAAAATTAACATGATGCTGATGCTGATTTTGTTTTTGCACATGCATGGTTGCATATTGGGATGAATTACAGTATAAAATACATAAGGCATGCACTGCAGCAAAAATGATGCCCATTATAAAATAAATTATTTCATAACATGGAAAACAAGTTATTGTATTGCTTTGTAATAATTGTAATATTCAGGACATTGTGTAGTGTAACCAAATTTTCAATTCCTCAGAAGAAGAGGAATGAAAAAGGAAAAAAAAAAAGATATTCTGATAGAAAAAATTCTGTCAGGAACTCATAGATGGTCTCACTTCTTAAAACAAAAAGTGAAGCAAGAGAATTGAGACTAACTCTGGGTTTCTGATGATTGGTTTAGAATTGATTTCAGTTTATACTGCATTGGTTTAGTTCAAGTTAGCTGTAATTGTGCTGTGGGTATGTCATTCCTTGTGCAAATTAGGTTTAACAAAGTCAATTGGCATGTCAATTAAGGAAGACTGAAAGATCAAACTGTATGGCAAAGGAAGAACATAGTCCTTTTAGATACTGGTTATTGGAGAGTTTGATGCATCAACAGAAATTTTCTAAAGCTGAAAATCTTTGAAATAGAAATTTATATATTTGTAGCCTTCATTAGGCCTATTGAAAACATATACACCCAAAAGTTGATTCTTAGATACCAAAAATTTATCTCAATTTTGTAGAATATGCTATACAGAAAGTACATGGATTAATTCATTTTGAAAAAAACAATTATTGGTACATTCAAATCTTATTTTCTTGGAACCAGCAGCCCCAGACAATCTGAACTTTGGGTTTATTCAAGGATTTAAGACAAAGCCTGGAATTGCATTCATGATTTACAACTGGTATCATAGACTCACCTAAGCATATCTCTGTTTTTCATACGGGGAATATTCAGTTAAATTTAGGCTTTTGCTCAGGGTGCAGATCATATTTCTACATAAAAATACATATAACACATGAACACTTTATTGTTATAAAGGAACTGATCACAATTACATTCAAAGGGTTTAGTAGCAATTAGAAAAACTGTTTGGAATGGTGTTTAATTCTCACTTGCAAAATGACAAAATCTTATTACACAAAGAGCATCAATCTTACAGCTTGTTGAGAAAAATTTGAAAAATAAGGTGTGTGGTCCTTTACTTTTAAAAATGAAATGCATTCTTCCTAATGCACTAACATTAATGTCTATCATGTACAAGTGTCTGCAATGTGAAATGTCACCAACAGCCTCAACCCAGGAGGCAATTTGACAAGTGTACCCTTTCATTTTTCTAGAGTTTTCTCTTGCACATTATGAATTAAACAAATCATCTGAGATTTGGAAAGGTACCACATTTGAATTTCATGTGATTATTTTCACATTTTCTGACATGTGAAATTTAAAAAGAAAAAAAAAATTAGAATATACCATGTAAATTTCACTTGAAAAGAACACACAACTAAAAGAGTGTGAAATTCAATGACATATGAAATTAAATGACATGAGAAAAAAAATGACATGTGAAATACAATGTGACATGACATGACGTGCAATGATTAGAATATAACGAAGTGTTAAAATACAATGACACAATATTTTCTTCACATGAAATTCATATGAGATGAACATTTGACTGTATATATTGATCAGCGTGATGGGCCAGTTTCTACTGGTAATTAAAAATGCACCTACACAATGTCCTAGAAATTTCAATTTTTTTTTTTCATTTTTAATGTTTATTATATGCACACAGCAATAAACTTTTCCACCACTGATCTGTGTTTTCTTGTTTTTTCAGCCACTACCACACTTCCCGGCTACTATTATTACAATGACGATGGGTCCAATTATTATGTGTACCACTGAGAAAGGTGAACTTTGAACTTTGACCTGGTGAAACTTGAACCTAAGGGTGAAACATTTCTATAGGATAATTCAAGTCATGTGATATCTGTGATAAAGTGTTGGGTGGCAACCATTTTGAAATTAGGATAGATAAATTAACTGTGAATTAGAAACCTGAAAATGAGAAAATTTACCAAAAAATATACAATATCATTCCTCCAAATTAGTGCTATTAAATTTTCTATCTTTATAGCTTGTCAGTTGCCAGTAACATCATATTTAGATTTTAAATTTTTAGTACATTGCATTAATGGTTTAAAGTATAATTTATATTTTTTTTAATATTTATTCTGTCACAAAATCTTTTATTTCATTTAGCAACAAATGTTGGATATTTATTTAACAATTTCATCATCAAAGTAGGAAGGAACATTTGTTTCCAAAACGGAACATGATGTAAATAATTTTATGTGATATTGGGAGCACCCATATTACTCATTTTGTTGTGTATAGAATGTATATGGATTTATATGCATAAATAAAGTCATTATTTTCACTAAAAAATTAATTGTTTTCTTGTCTTTGAAGTGGGATTTGGTTTTATTACAACCTAGTTGTTCTTTAATGACAGTGTATCTGTGGAATGTGTTGTAGTATGTTTTTGTTCCTTGGTTACTTGGTTTGTAACTATCTTGCATCCTTGTAAATGTTGCACCCTTAGAGGCTTTAAGTTAGTGGCTAAAAGTTTCAAAGTTGATCATTCTCAGTGGCTTCAGAATAAAGTTTAAAGTGGCTGGGAAAATAGGAAAGCTAATGCTTAGAATTCAATTCATTTTAGATAAATATGATAGTCATAATCTTGTATTAACTTACTCTATTTATATAATAATTAGGTGTTTCATAAGCTGATAAACTTCCAATTTAAAACTAATAAAAAGGAAATTGCGGAGCTTAAAATTACTTTGGTCCATATTCAGATCAATTTTCAATGCTTTAATGCTTTAATATACCCATAAAATTAATGTACTAAATTAATGTATGTATTAAATTGCTTATCAAGTTGTTTAATGGAGCAAACAATTTTAAACATTTTTCACTGTAACTTTTTGGAATTTTGATATTTGTAGTAAAAATTATATGCAACACTATCTTTTAAAAAAACAGGCATAAGTAATATTGATAAGTAATTAACCAACTTTTTAAACATATTTGTTAAGTGATTAAATGTGTACATTATCTAGTCCATGTTGATATTAAGGATACATTAGATAAGAAAAACTAATCGATTGAAAAAGTTTCAGAAATGATTTGAAAATGAGATTATAATTGCTTCCTCATATGTAAATATGATGCATGTAATGCTCAAATCTAACCACTCAAACTTTATCATAAAATTCCCAATAAATGTATCTAAATCAGTCAAGATTTTTTTTTTATATCTGGCCATATTTTACAAGCTTGGAAAGATTAGTATTGTAATATTCCCTGTCATTTACAATTTAACAAAGGATTTCATATTGCAAGGATTCCAGTTTTGACTGCATGTAGCCATACCACTTTAAAAGCTGCATGTATATAGGTATATCACCTTAAAGGCACCTCTAAATGCTTAAATATTGATATCTGTTGTGGCTTATGTCTATCTAGTCTTTTCCTTAGCAACCCCATTCATCCAAATGATGGCAATGTACAGAAAAAAGGCATTTACTTTATGAATTCAATGAAGTAGAAATCCATCCCTTTACCCTTCCTATAAAATAAATTTACCTGGAAGACTGCTCTAGGTAGCATAAAATTTTAATACACCTTTCAGAAAGAAAAATATGGGTGAAATTGTTGTTGACATGAATGTCTTTATAATGTAAGCGAACCAAGGTGTTTGGTGGAATCTGCTTTTATGTGTTTAATTTACATATCTATTTGCATTTTTGAATGCTTTCCTTTGTGTATTAGAATTTATCTTGATTTGTATTTGCCCCCTCTGTATTGAATTTGTATATCTTGTATTAATGCATGTGTTTGAGTTTAAATTTCTCTTGATATTTATATTCAATTATATTTTTCTGAATGTATTTGTCAACATTGTAAACATTGGTTTTACACACAAGCAGAGGCAAGTTTATGCATAAACACTCAACTGCTTGTATGGAAAATTCTGTGAGAATTAATTTATAAGCCCTGCAATATTACAAGACAAATACCTTTAAGTTCCTAAATTGATTTTCTCAAATCCATTACAAGAATAATTCTCTATGTTCATAAACAATTTTAAAATCTTAGGATAGTTAGAACAAATGATAAAGTAACAGTTAAGTGGCATTCTTGTTTTAGTAAATGTTACTCTGCATGTAGTAATCCATAAATTGATATCTTAAGGTCTTTGATTTCAATGCTGTATAAACATGCTGTATTAAAGACAAACTTATAAAAGAAATTGATATACAATATTCTTAATTTGAACTTTTTTTTTTGAAAATCTTGATATTCGTTTTTAATAGGATTAAAATTTTTATCACAACCTAAAATTAAAAAGCTCAAGAGAGTTTATATATACCTACCAAAATCATACTGAACATGCACTTTAAAAGGCAAGTGCAGGTACAGTTTAACTCAGATATCTCAAACACTGATATCTTTAATACCATGGATTATGTCGAAGAAATTTTGATGACCCAATCACTTATTTTTTAAGTATTTAATTAACTCCTGATTATAATCTCAAATCTTTATCCCATTGAGTTGGAATAATGAGGTTTGCCTATATTCATTAAGTTTATAGAATTATTTACTGGATACAAGCAATCAAATGGAGGGTTTTAGAACAGGTTCATTTCCAAATGTCTTTTAAGTCTTAACTAAGTTAACTAATCTTGCATAGAATTTGGTTACTAAAATATGTAGTCTTAGTGAAGCGTTGGATGCTGTTGGAGACCTTTTCTATCTAGAAAGGTGAACATGCAGGGAGATGTTTTCAGAGAACTCCCATTCTTAGATAATTAGTCCTACTTTTAGAAGTCAGCTTGCAAATCTTGGGTTGCAACCAACAGATCATGCTTTAGATGCAGCTATACATAACTATTATTTTACGGATGTTATAGCTGTAAATGGAGGTTGTATGCCTTGGAAGCCATTTCAGTTTTGGGCCACGACCAAGCAAAGATTTCTTGACAAGCAAAAAAAAAAGGCTCATGCATTTATAGAAGGTGCACATCCATAGAATAGCTATGTTTACCAAATACTGGTAAAAATATTGGGGGAGGGGGCCCTTACAAAGTGCATATACAGTCAAACCTTGAAATGTTGTACCTAATGGGACTAAGAAAAAAATGGAGATATCTAGGGATTGAGATATCAAGTCTCAAATATCAAGGTGATATACTTTAAAAAGAAAAAGAAGTTGGGACTTCCAAGTCACTGACATACTGTATTCATGCTATTCAAGATATCAGTGTCTGAGATACTGAAGTTCAATTGTTAACTATATCTTATCAACATACTATACTTGACTATCGTTACAGAGATGATGCATAAGAACCTTGATGTGGACAATGCTACTAATTTGAAAAAAAAATGAAATTCTAAAATAAATAGTATTATTGGCCAAATTTGCAAAGATATTGCATTTAGGGATTAAAGCATGTGTCACTTGAGATGTTTGAAATACTGCATGTGACCTACTTTTACAAGATGAATGTTTTTGAAAAAGTCCAAATTCCAATCTAAGCCCAAAGACCAACTTACACACTATTGCTTTTCACTCATGACCAATCTGCCATTTATGTTTTGGTTAAGTTTTTACATTGTATTTATGAAGAATCAATGTGAAGATATCCCCCTTAACATATTCAACATTTTAAAATTATGATGATAATTTGAGTAATAGAATGAAAACAGTAATTTTTTTGTTAGTTGATGCTCCTCGGGCTATAGAGCCTCGGGTCATAGCTGTCCCGGAACGTCAGCCAACCTTGGTGTCTCCACAGCCAGGTTTGTATGATCTGTATTTATTAACACAGTGAGACCTGTCCAATCTGACATGCACTGGGAGACAAATCCTGCATCAGAATAGAGAGGATGTTGGATTGCACAGTGTAAAATAACATGAAAGTTAGAAAAATGGGAAAGATTTGTTTTTGTCGGAATTTACAGTGTGACAGATTGCACAAGTGTTGGATTAGACAGTTTTCACTGTAATATTGATAAAATATGAACCTTGAAAAGTCAGAGCTGAATGTAAATTAATTAATGCTTGTAATTTACATCATAATTATTAGACTGCTGCACAAAGCAGAATGTTTTGAAACATAAGTTTATGTGTTGCTTGTGTAAAAGTGTAACCTGAAATGTTCATCCAGAAAATTTAAAAAGTACTTTATTTATTTATTATTCAAATTTCAAAATTAAATCAGCAGCACAAATAATTTGAGTTCAAAGATTCATTTTGAGATGCATGATTGCAGTGACATATAATTTAAAAAGAGATTCAATGGTCTTTCAAACTTGAAGCATATTTGCACTTGAACATGTGACAGCATTATCGCACACAATACCTAAATAAAAAGATTATGTTCAGTTAAATAATTAGTAAAAGAACCAATTAAGCATGCATTCTTAAGTATAAAGTTTCACTCATAAATAACTAAATGCATTGTGGACTTTCAATGATATGATAAATGTTTGATAGAGTTAAAAACCAGCATTATCCTTGTTGCTTGGCAATAATTATTATGGATGCATTGATGTAGGGTATAAATTCGTAAGCGAAATGGAAAGTTTGGGGCAATAAAAATTTGATTCTCTTTCAGGGGTGAATGTTATGAAGTGTAAATAGTGATATGGTAGATTGCTACTCAAATGTTAATCGATCTCCAAATGTCTGCCATTAAAATGAATTGATCTATTCATATTACTTTGGATGCACATGAATATAACATGTCTATGAATACATAATGGAAATTATATAAGACTCCTTATATAGAATATGAAATCTTTATCGTAAAGAAAACATTTATTCTTTGCATTACCAATTAAGTTGAATGACCAGTTACAAATTCTTATTAAAATAATGAAAAAGTAAAGGAGGATCAAAAAAAATTAATCTTTACAATTTTTCATTTAATATATTACACTCCTTTTATGCTGTGTCATGCAACCAGGTGTAATCATGTAATCATACATATGATTACATGTAATCAGGTTACATGTAGTCAGGTGTTGTTACATGTAATCAGATGTTACATGTAGTCAGGTGTTGTTACATGTAATCAGGTGTTACATGTAGTCAGGTGTTGTTACATGTAATCAGCTGTTATTGTAATTAGGCATTGTTACAGTTGTTATCAGTTTTGTTAAATTAATCAGCTGCTGTTACTTGTAATCAGGTGTTATTATATGTAATTTAGTGTTGTTCACATGGTATCAGGTACATGTAAGGTGTTGCTGTATAATATCAGTGTTGTTTTATTTTAATGTAATTACGTGTGGTTACATGTTATCAGTTGTTGTTATATAATACCAGGTGTTTTTACATGTAATCAAGTGTTTTCACATGTTATCAGGTACTATTAATTTGATCAGGTGCTGTTACATTGTAATCAGGTGATATTACATGTAATCAGTTGTTGCTACATGTTATCAGGTACTATTACGTGTAATTAAATGTCGTTACATTTGATCAAGTGTTACATGTTATCAGTTGTTGTTATTACATGTAGTATTATATGTAGTGAAATGTTGTAACATTTGATCAGGTGCTGTTTCATGTAAATAATCAATTGTTGTAACATGTGATAAGGTGTTACATTTGATCAGGTATATAATTAACATCTTCCTTACAATGTTTTGTCATGTTTATTAAAACCATTTTAATTTATTTCTTTTAAATTACTTCAGGAGCCAGACGATCGGTAAAGAAAAAATCTATTCCTTTCCCAGGCCCTAGTAAGTAAAATTTAGATGTTCGAATGTTTTAAATTTCATGAAGTATTGCATGCATATATTTTTATTAAACTTGAAGAAATTTACATGGATTTATGATTTTATTTTTCAGAAGGCCTGAGAAAGTTCCGCCATGTTGCTTACGCTGCTTGGTTTATTTCTGCACTTAAAGCACTTAGAGAAAAGGTATCTACTAACAAAACTAACAACTAGTAACCACTGTTATACATCAGGTCGACAAAATTTCATCTAAAATTGGACAAGAGAATTATAAGATGATAAATTTCTGATGAGCAGGTGTGCGAGGAGAAAAATATTTGAATTTTTTCCCCAATGTTTGATATCTAGAACTTTATTGAAACTTACTAGAGACCTAAATATTTTGACAGATTGAGTTGAAGGTCTCAATTTAATTATTTTTATATAGATATATACAATATATGATACAGGACCTTTTTTGAGCTTTACTGATCACATTTTGTCTGTTGTCCATCAGTCTGTCTGTCTTTCTGTCTGTATGTAAACTTTTTACATTTTAGACTTCTTCACCAGAACCACTTTGTCAATTTTAACTTAACTTAATTTGCCACAAAGCATCCTTGGGTGAAGGGGATTTAAGTTTAAGTTTGTTCATATGAAGGGCCTCACCCTCATTCAAGGGTGATCAGAAATAGTGAAATTTTTTTCCATAATATTAAAAAAACTTCTCAAGAGCAACTTTGCCAGGGAAAATGAACCTTATGGGAAACATTTTCAGGTAATGTAGATTCAATTTTCTTCCACAAGGGATGATCAAAGTTTTAGTACATAGAATTATATAGGAAAAAATTTTAAAAAACCTTTTTCTCAAGAACAACAAAGCCACGATTGGTCACATTTCTATGGAAGCATCCTCAGGTAGTGTAGATTAAGATTTGTTCAAATCATGACAGGGGAGGGTGGGGGCCAATGTAAGTTCAAAGGGTAAAAAAGAAAAAGTTAGTCAAAGAAATATGCAAGCATTCATGTTTGTTCAAATCATAGCCCACTCCCCTTTAAGGATAGGTTGGGACCACTTATATATTTAATTTAGAAACTTTCAATTCTGAACTGATTTCTACTTTTTCCCATCCACAATTAATGCTTAGGTGAGAGATGTGGCCCATTGTTTTAATAGCTAGCCTCTCAGATCATTTATTCAGATACATATTTTACTGTTATGTTATTTATTTTAGCAAAGAATATAAGGTTTATCTATATTGCTCTGATGTTGTCTAAATTGTTTTCAAATTCCCCCCAAAAATGTTCTTTTTTTGTTTATAAACTAGTAGTTCATCTTTTAAATATGAAAAATTTTCTATAATTTTTACCACTCTTCTACTAACAAATTCTTCCAACAAGAATACTCAGAATAAATCTGCTTCTATTACCATTATAGTCCTATAGATTATTTACTGAAAACAATCCATTCCTCCATTTTTCCAACAATCCATTTCTCTTATCTCTTACTGATTTTTATGCCCCCTTATGATGAAGGGAGGGCATATTGCTTTGCTGCTGTCTGTCGGTTGGTATGTCTGTCAGTCCACCAAGTTTCCATTCATTTACTTTGCAGGGGTTGCACAAACTGAAATGAAATTTGGTATACAAATTTATCATAAAAATATCTAATTCAAGTTAAGTTGTGGTAATGATCAAGCCATTTTGGACAGAGTTATGCTTGTTTTGAGTTATGCAGAGTTGGACTTGCAGAGGTTGCATATACTAATAATGAAATCTGGTATACAGATTAATCATAAAAATATCTAGGTCAAGTTCTGTTTTGGGTACAATCAAGCCATTTTTGACTTAGTTAAGCCCCTTGGACTTATAAAATTTCCATTTATTTAGAGGGGGCATAAGTGTTTCACAAACAACTCTTTATTTTGAATTATAAACAGTTTCTTTGCTATACCGCTAGTCCACATTTCAGACCAGGTCAGAGGTTTGTGTGCTGTGTTGTAATTTCCTGTTATTTTGACAATTCATCAATAACTAACACATGTTAACACTGCAGTTATTTTATCTTTATTAGCAATAACAAATTAACACTAGTTGTTTTTATCAATAGACAGTACGTAACTAACTGACACTTTTTTTCTATCAATTTTATCACTTAGCAGTAGTAAACTAACAAATTTAAACATTGTTCATGTATATTGTAAATAAATCTATATATGCTTGCAACTTAATATTACTTACCTAACAAAATCTGAGCAAGATCTTATCTTATATGTATATGAAATTATTTAATTACTTAATATCTCATTAGTTTAAAAGATTTTTCATTAGTACATAAGAAGTTGAAAAAGAGTAATTTTCCAGTCATTTTGTAGATTTATTTGTAGATTAATTTTTAAAAAATTAAATAAATTCTTTTATGATTCAATTTCTTACTTCAGTTGATAATTTTTTGAATTTACAGAATGCAGGAAGTCGCCCCAGTAGTGTATTTTTATTTGGAATAATCTTAAAAGAAATAGTCGCAGCACTTCACAGAATATACCTCAATGTAAGTGAAATTTAAGTTTCTTTTTATCCTTTATCATGAATCTTCATCATTTTCAACTATGCAAGAAATAAAAAAAAATAATGACCATTTAAGTATGAACATGACCCATCATCCTTCATCTTTGGAGTACAAGAGCTCTCCTGACCCATTCATTTTTGAGGAAGTAAAATGAATACATGTACATGTATAAATGATCATTATTAAAAATTAATTACCATGTGGGAATAATAAATATATTTTAATATGTGGGAATAATAAACATATCTTAATATTTTTTTTCAGGGGGGGGGGGGGGGGGGATTTGATAGCATTAATGCTCATACTTGCAAATTATAAAATTTAAATTTACTGAGCTATTTAGAACTTGGGATATTTTTTTTTTGGGGGGGGGGGTCAGTAGAATTTGAATTATAATTTATTGATTATGTGATGTTGCTCTTTTTGAGGGAAATTGTATTTAATTTCAGCCTAGTGGAAATATATACCCAGTCGTTGCAGATGCAATAAACCCTAAGGCTTATGATCTGTCTAACCTGGTGCGGGGGAGAACTGGGGAACGAGAGGGACAGACAATGATTCAGGAATTACAGTATATAGTAGAGAACCTGATCTACCACATCACAGAAATCATGGTAAGTGGTTTACCACATCACAGAAATCATGGTAAGTGGTTTACCACATCAGAGAAAGAAAGTGGTGCACCATGTCACAGAATACATTGTAGGTGGTTTGCCCCATTATAGAAAATTATGGTATTACTGAGTGGTTTAAACCACATCACAGAAATAATGGTAGGTGGTTTATACACATCACAGAAATTATGATAAATGGTTTACCATTTTACAGAAATTATGGTAACTGGTATTTGACATGATAGTCTTTAACTTAGTCAAGTGATCTGCACTTTTGCATCATTTAAGATGTACTGTAAACCAACTTTTATTCACGACGACTTAATTTCGCGATTTAATAGGGATGACCTAATTCGCAACAATTAATTTTTGTGATCTAAGCCTTTTTGGATCTGTTGTTAATAAACACATATACACTTTAAGGACCGGTTCATGGCGAGAAATATTCGCTATAACGAGGCTCTCGCGAACTAAGCGAAAATTTCTCACACGCGAATAAAAGTTGGTTTACAGTGAATGGCAAAACTTGCTGGAACTTTTGTAATGATTTTAAGTTATCATCATAATGAAATTTCCTGAAGTTTGATCACCTATACTCAATGAATTTACAGCCCAGCACTGGTGTCTTAGGAACTCATAGAAAATCAGCTGTTTATGAACTTATCAGAAATGGAAAGAGGTTTCCTGATGGTTATTTCTGGCAAGTCGAATTGGTAAGTCTGGGATTTGACTTTATCTATCTTACATGTATCAAAGGAGAATAAAACTGACTTCCAAGAAAATCTTAAAGATAGATAATGGGGGGAAAAATCTAGATAATTAGGTTATTTTTTGTGTTGCCTACAGAGAATGGTGGGCAATTGTAGGAATTATCCATCATTTGTTGGAATATAGAAGTCCTACTTTTACACATACCCCACTTCTGTCATTGAATTGCAGGACAGACTCCAGTTTACAGAGAATGGTAGAACCACAAGTATCGGAGACCCAGAGGCCTTTATGTTAATCATCGGGATCTTTATATCCAGAAGTCTGATCACGACGCTACTAATGAAACCCGTAGACTACGGACTGTCTAATCAGCAGTTGTCAGATGTCGCCGAGCGTAATCTCAAGGTCATCGCTACGACAATGCTTTACCTTGTACGACGAGTTTCCGTATCCAGAGGAAGAGCTATGATGGTGAATGTTTTTTTGTTTCTCTAGAAACCACATCCAATTTGTATATTTTTTAAATTGTTGATGAAAATTCTGATTGATGTTTGATCTTTGACTTTATTTAGAGTATGCCAGGAGAGATTGCGAAGTACCTATACTCAGATGAGGAAATGAGACCAATTTACAGCAGGATTGCTAAGTCTTTCAATTATGCAGAGGTATGACTGATCATCAAAAATACACCGCAACAAAATCAAATTCCACAATACCTGCATGATGTTGTAAAATGTGCTCAATCATTCTAGGTACATGTCCTTTAAAATACTCTTTAAATCAAGTCTTATGTAAAAATTTCTTTGTTTTACAGGGCCTTTTGAGGGAATGGGGCCAGGAGTACATCAAAAGACTCAGGAATGCACCCACACTCAAGAACTGAGAAAAATTAGTGAATAATTTTTTTAATATCACAAATTTCGCTGTGCCACTTCAAGAGAGATAATGCAATAACTCTAAGCTAAAAGACAACCAATTTAGAGCTATTGATGCATTTTTCTTTTGCATAGATCATCATATGAGGAAAAGTGCCAAAAATTTGTTTGCACCTATGACACAAGCAAATACCAGCATAAGCAGTGCATGGTTTCCCATACCAAACCATTCTCACAATTTGCTCATGAGTAGCTCACGTGAGGACTAACCAGATTTCCTCACCTGAGTTGCTCACGTGAGTCTCATGTGCAATTTAACATGCAAATTCGGTAAAATGCTCACGTGAGCAGGCTTCTGCACATGAGCATTTTTTTGCTCACGTGAGGAATCATTTTGCTCACCTAGAATATTGCTCACATGAGTCTCATGAGGCTCATGAGACTCATGTGCAACAATTGCTCACTTGAACAAGCAACAATAGAACAAAATTCAGATTACTAACATTATATAATTATGTAATTTTAAAATGTATTTCATCAGTTACCCAAATGAAAAAAAGGGGGAAACAAAATACTATAACAAACTACTTACAAAACATATGTTTTGAAAGTGTTTTGATAGTATAGCAAATCACATGCAAATGAGCTAACAAAACACTATAACAAGTTACTTTGAAAACACTCTAACAAACTACTAACAAAACGCTTTAACAAAATACTTACGAAACACTCTAACAAACTACTAACAAAACACTGTGTTTTGATAGTATTCCATTAGTATAGAAAATCACATGCAAATGAGGCTAACAAAACACTCTAACAAAATACTAACAAAGCATAAGTAACAAATCATCAATAAACCACTAAATTTGAATTTTTAAAATTATAATTAGCAAATTCACAAGTCTTTGAAAACATCTAAACACAGTCTCATATTGAAACATATTATAAACATCTTGTTTCACAGTATTTTGAATTCCAGGTTTGACATTATTGTTCAATAGACAATAGCACACCATTCCTACATTTAAAAACACCAAGTTCGATTCATGATCACTCTCTTATATCGATCATTCTCTGCAGTGAAATCCTTTGGTGTAAGAGATATAATTCTCAATCCATTGACCATTTCTCCATTCACATACATTTTCACAGAATTTTCAAGTATAATTTATAATTCATTTAACCCAGTGCTTATAAACTGATCTAAGCTGGGTAGTATATGGATTAAAGGTGACAATCTTAAAATGAACAAAAACCCAATAAAAACAGGCCATATACACATCCACATTCACAGATTGAAGGTTTAACTGTAGTCCAGTTTAAAAGAACTTTATGTCATGCAATAAATAAATACCTCTGTTATATCCAGATTCATCCTGATTTTGCTTTTTCCAATCAGGGATCAATATATATACTAACACTTTACATGTCCCTTCACCAATCTCTATGTTTCTCTCTGACCTAGTGCTGGTGGTTTGAAAATTGGCGCAAAACTAGTAACACAGGATATAAATAGATAAGTTGTTCTTGGAAGATTTTACTGCTCTTAGATAAGTCAACCCTTAACATGTCTGTTAATCAAATGAAATGCTAACAAAATATTAATTTGATGCAGACAAGTATAATGAAACACTTTCAAAATGCAATTTCATTCTGCAGAGTGTAATGAAACATTAATAAAACACCAACATTGTAATGAAACATTAACAAAATACCATGCCACCCCATCCTGTAAAGTATAGCATTGATGTTTCGTTAAATGCAACACTTTCAAAACATACTAAGAAAATATAAAAGTATGATTTGGTAGTGTTTTGAAGATATTTTGAAAGTATTTTGTTAGATTTCTTTTTCATTTGGGTACATTTTAAAATACTCTTGAGCAACATATACATGTAAATAGATGCTTGCATAATTATATTCAGTGAACTTCATTTTTTAAACTTAAAATGAAATAAAAAATTAAATTAAATTATCATAATTATGTACAGTACACATCAATCAAAGTATTGTTATCCAATAGTTCCATTTCAAGTAGACTAACATAGAACATCCAATGTAAATGTCCAGTCAACATTTTTGACTGCACTAGTACTAGATGGATTAAAGTTGTCTTAAAGTAAAATGTCTTGGAGGCTAAGTAGATGTTTCTGCCTTTGCCGAATTTATCAGTGGCATGCATTCATACTTGTGTGTAAAATAAATAATCCAGTGGTCATTAGAATCAGAACCAATTCGAATTCATCCTGTTCCATTCTTTTTCCTTGCATTTCCTTTAAATGAGTGCCAACATCAGAACTTTGTCATGTATGCAAGCTCAGCTAGGGCCCGTGATTAATCTGCAGATCCTTTGATTCCAACTTTCATCTGCAAAAAATTTGAAGTTATAGTTAGTATATTTTCAAGGTTCCGTTGGTCATGAAAATTAAGCCAGTCAATAGAAAAATCATATGCATCAATATTTAATTAGCAACTTAAATACATGTAAATTCATAGAATACCGCACTGAGGCTGTCAATTGTACACTCTGACCTGTTCTTACCATATTTATAGTTCTTAATTAAACTGTAATTCCTGACAACATTCTGCATTAAATATATCAAAATTAAATACACTGATATAACACAAAAACATATTTTTTTTAAATTAGTAATATCTGAAATGAGAAGGGGGGATAGTAAATTTCAAAGCACTTACCCTATTCTCAGATCAGCAAATCTTTGAAATTTTCCTTCATTGTGGCTGCACCATGGTAATATCTAATTGATCTTTAATCATTTCCTCATCCATGAACATACTGGATACATTTGTAACTTTTAAAGGCTGGCATCTAGTTCAAAATGGTGATGACATGTATTTCCAAAAGCATATTTCAGTTCTTTACTGTATTAATCCATATACTTTAAAGTTCAGTGTCCCTCACAAACATTTTGTATTGAAATTTTGAACTGCTCTGAGAAGGCGCACAAATCCTGACTGGCTCTCCTCATTGGATACTGCCCCACTTCAAGTAACAGTGGGGGACACAACAGGTTGTTTAGGTAGAGCAAAGTATTTTCAAATTGATGGGAATTGAAGATTAGAAGCTCAAGAAATTAAGATATTCCTGCCTGGTCCCCAATCATTTGTGATACTATCAGCAGGAAGTGTTAACACTTAACACATGGTCAATTTGTAATAAAGGCTTGGGAAAGCTTGGACCACATAGAGTGACAAAGTATTTTTTCCTCACGTGAGCCTCACGTGAGGAATTGAGACTTGTAATTCTTTGGTTTTGGTTCTACTCGTAATACTGAATTTTGATTATGTCCAATTTCCTCACCTCTTGCTCATGTGAGAAAACTGAACTTAGAAAAATCACTACCAATGCTATATCTTAAATAAGGCTGTTCTTAGGTGAGCAAATTGAATAGACTTTTGCTCATGAGCATTGAGGTGAGCATAATTTTGCACATGTGCATTTTGGTTAGTATTTTCCTCCCTAACAAAGACTAACAATCTGCACATGAGCAAAATCCAATTCTACCTAATTTGCATACAATTCTTACTTGATTCTCATGTGAGTCTCATGAGCTTCTCATGAGCATTTGTTAGAATGTTTGGTACGGGTTCAGCAACAATCTCATGATACAGTTTCTTTATGCAGTCTTCTTGCATTAAAAAAAAAGGTGTCCACCAAAAGAGCAAAAAATATTTAGGGGCCTCAAAATGCATATCATCAAAGAAGCACATTGACGATATTAGAGATTTATACCTGTTCCAATGATGTATACATGCACACTATTAAAGCTGGGAATTCCAAATAGCTTTCAGTTTTCTATGCATTTTAATCTGAACACATTTTGTATTTCATTGTTAGAAAAAAAATCCAATAGCTTTTGGATTGAGTTCAATTCCCTTCAGTTTTTAGGGAATAGCTTTCTCTGTATCAGTAACATACACCTTCAATCTTTGCATATGTACTGGCTTAATTTTGTGACCAAAAATCCAACTCATATTGTAAACCAATTAACAATTATTCTCTTTTTTTGTGATTAGAGAGGTGGAATCCATCTGCAACTATTATTATTTGTGACTGATTTAACATTCTACCTAGAAACATAAGTAAAGTATTGCTTATGGATGAGAAATATTCATGAATGAAAGAAGGTCACGAAACTTGCAGATAGTTCTGGCTTGCAAATACCCCTGGTAACACTTAGTTAATAGTACTTTTTTTTCTTTCCAGTATCACTTGAAGGACATACAAACTGTTACAAAGGAAAACTTAATGTTAAATTCAAGTGAATATCTTAAATCTCTTAAATTTTTTTCAACCCTATGTACATTTTTCGTAGTCTTTGAACTACTGCCTGGTAAAGATTTTCTGAAAATCGGAACTTAAATATTTTTAATTAATTCACTAATACATGTGTATAACAATATATTGAAATCTTGCCATAAGTTCTACAAAAATTATGCCAAAAGGAACGTGCATGTTAAATGAATGGTTAGCATAAGTTACTAACTTTGTAGTTTTGTTTTGATACTACAGTGTATTTAATAATTTGTCATTTACATGTATATTGTTAACTTTATGTCATTTAATTTGAATTATATACCAAAGCATCTGTGATATGTTTGTGTTTTTCTTACACTATTTGTAAATATCTTGTATCCCTTTGTTGTAAGTAAATTGTTAGTTATTTATTGAAATAAACTACAAATCTGAGCAAGCAATTTAAATTTCTGTTTTTTTTTAAATACATGGGGCCAAAATATTTTGATTCTATTTATAGGGATATATAAGAAATTTCTGCAGAGATTTTAATTTTGCACATTAATAATATTGCTAATCTTTAATCAGCACATTTAATGCATGGATGATTTCAAGCAAGATAAAATATGTTCTGTCTAAAGAATGGGTGTATAAAAACGTATAATACTGCTTCAATATGTTAACAAAGTTTAAAAAAAAAACAATACATGTATTAGTTATCCAGGTTCAATCAAGGGTGTACGAGGATTTACCCCGGGTTTTATTCTATACACCCTGAGGCCGAAGGGTGTATGGAATACAACCCGGGGTAAATCCCCGTACACCCTTGATTGAACCTGGATCACGAATTTATTTCCTCTGTATCCGTAAATATTCTTTGTAAAACATAAATCCAATCTTCTGTGTCTCAATCTATCGATAAGATTTACTACGTACTAGAGTGTATTGTGACGTCATGTCATTTGCTTTGTTTTATAGAAAAACTATGCATTGTGACGTCACGTTTTATTTACCCCCGGCTGAAGTCGGGTGTACAGAAATTTACAACCGACTTTGTAACCAATGAAAGCTCGTGTTACAAGCTAGATAGGAAATAAGTACATATATTCACTTTCTCTCAATTTGAAGGTAATCTACCCTGGTATATATTGGATCATTTTTTTTTTTTAAAAATAGGCCTCTGAAAAGGGTCAGTGTTTATTATTGGATTGTAATCAGCCAAAGTAACCAAAGTAAAACAACTGATTAAATGATTCTCAGATGAAATTTCTTTTGAATTAAAATTTTGTGTTCGATAGTATGAAATTTTTTTTTTAATTAGAAAAATATAATTTTTTTTTTTTAATTGGAAAAATTAACTCTGTAAGGAAACAGAAACACAACACAAAATTTCATTCAACTTAAATATATTTCCATCAAAACTTGAAAGAAAGGGGGGAAAAAACAACAAATGTAAGGCAATATATGATCAGATGAACATAACCTGTTGCCATAAATATAACTGATTCAATAACACTGCCATATGTTATAAATAACAAATACAGATACATGGTGAATATAAAACAAAAGGCATTAACAGAGAAATCCATGATAAGTCATTAGTCCTGTGTCAGACTTTTGTAGTTTCAATTTCTTTGTACCACTTGTTAATCACAGATTCTTCCACATACAGTGACACCAGTTGAACTTTTTCCTGAAGCAACTTTATACACCTTTTGATTCATGATTAATAAACAAAATTAATTTTAAAACATAATAATTAAGCACATTAATCCTTTTTTCATAATGGGAAGAAGAAATATGATCACTGTTAATATTGATACAAAGTACATTTCGACTGAAAAGAAAGTTAACAATCATAACTGCAACAATAAACATATTTCTAAACTGGTTCAAACATATACGATTTAGCTGAATAAAACAGAAAAAAAATCCTCGATTGAAATCAAAGATAAAAGATTCACAAATTATGCTAAAATCAATTAAAGCAGTGTGTAAAATTTATATGATAATTCAAAGATATTTCTAAATTATGGAGTTTTAAAAGTGCTGGCTACAAATCAAATAAACTCAGTTTTCAAGCTTTATGAATGTTGAATGGATTCAGAGCAAAAATTTAAGTACAAAATATTGAGATCAAAAGGCCTTTTTTTTGCATTGAATAAGAAAAGTGTTATTTAAATGAGCTTGCAAAATATGATATATATAAAATAGCCACAAATAAGAAAGATATTGCACAATACCACAGACCTTAATTTAGATTGTGATAAAACTGGAATGTCCAAAAATAATTTTGTTTGTTCATGATAGATAAAATAGATACGAGGTACATGAAAGATTCATTGTCAAATTAACAAAAACATAATTGTCTAATTAGTACTGAATATGTGAAAAGGTTGTAGAGAACATCCAATACAGTTCTATATGACGTGTACTGGGTGCATATGTACCATGGAAATGGCAGAATGTGATTAAGAATGACTAGATAATTTTTTTTCTTCTCAGACTATTTTACATCCTTATTAGTCCCCTACCAGTGAAATTGGAGGGGACTATAGGTTGTTTAAAAACACTAACTAAGAGCTAATTTTCATCAAACAAATTGCTAAAGTGCAAAGTACACAACAAGATGAATAGATGATATATAAAAGCATCAGAAGTAAAAATATTTTTCACTTGAGAGATGATTTGATCAGCAGAGTGTATGTCTAACATAAAAAGTGGGTGAAAAGTAAGCAGATATAACTGTACGTCTTTAAACACACATACAACAAAAAATGAACAAGTACAGTGCATTCTATGCAAAGCACATTTTCTCATCTTTACATTTTAGTACTTCACCACACATTAAAATTCATTTTTATATATCTAACTATTAACATTTGATTAATAAAATACTTAACTTCACCAAATACATGCAAGGTAAAACTCAAATCAATAACAAATCTGGGTTATGATAGCACAACATAAATTTAACAATAATTGTTTTAAATACAATGTCTATACATACATGTACACGTATTGAAATTATACAACAGCAAATATCCAATTGTAGATTTATCATGATATATACGATTTAGGGATGTCAAAATTGTCAACAATTGATATTCGAATATTCGATGGGAGTATTCGAATATATTCGAATATTCGATGAAATAAATGCTCTTGAATTATAATATAGATATCTTCACTCTCCTGTCAACCAGTATACTTTTTATCATATGAAAGTAGCTTAATTATATATTTTCAAAGTATTCTATGGAATATATCAAGGGTTAAAATCTAAAACATAATTTTAAAAAAATATTTTGAAATTTCAAAACTTCACTGATGACTCCTACAAATTTATACCACGCATACCACTTACTGGAGAAAATTATCTTGATCTATTAAGTTTTGAAATAAAAACAGATAACTTAAAAGCAATTATTCTTAGTTTATTAATTTCCTGATAATGATTCTTAATTGTGTAAACATAAACAAGGGATTCATGTGTATAAGTGTACAGCTGTGTCCATACAACAATTAAAACTAATTGTAATTACTGAACACTGTTATACCACTAATGTTAGTATCAAATGAATGATTCTAATATAAACACTCTTCACACCTTAAAGATAATCCAAGAGGAATGTATTTAAATTTTGTATCAAATCATATGCTCGATTCTATTTGTCTGGTTGCAAGACAACTCAGATTTTTTTAAACTTGACAGATTTTTCTCTCTTTTAAATGATATAAACTTAAAAAACGAATATTCGAATCTTAAATTTATATTCGAATATCAACTTATCGAATGAATATTCGAATATTCGTTGACATCCCTAATACGATTAAATATTTTTTTCAAGTAGTTGAGAGACCGGGATATGTCTTATATGGCAGAAGTACATGTATTGCTACTGTTAGATAAACTAATTAATTTCCTAATTAATTACTGATTAAAAATGGATTTGCAAGATGATCAATATCACACAACAAAACAAAACACTCAATACCACGTACAAATGATATAAACATGCATTGCACGAAACTGGTAATACCCATGTACAGAAAAAAAATGAACAATACTTGATGTATTAATGAATAATAAAAAAAAGGTTACAACAAAGCAAGTATAAAATTTAAATATCAAATTAAATTAATGTAAAAAAAAAAAATAATGAAGATATAGTGTATGAATATCACACATTCCAAATAAAAAAAATTCTATTATTCTCTTATATTTAAAATCAATAACCATGCTTTTAAACAAGAGGCAAAATATCTATAAACAAACGATTTAATTTTTACAAACATTAACAAGTTAATACTCTTTCTCATTCACTCGTTCATGACTGATTGGTGTCTAAACAGTTTTATTTAATATCCCATCAGTAGAAAACCTACTGATGTACCAGGGTTATTTCTTCAGCTGGGGTGGTTCAGTTTTGATTACTTTCGGAATAATGGTGTAGATTTTCTGGTTATTTCCGGTCAGAGCCGGATGGTTCAGGGTGATGGTGGTGGGTTGTGACGCTGGTTGACCTACAATCTGAGTGGTGATCAAGCCGGTGTCCATGGTCTTGACGATTGCCCCTGGGATAAGTCCTGCACTGGTCAGGGACTCTATCAGTTCCTTGGAGGGGGTGGATGTGGCCCCTGCCAGTTCTGTCACGTTAGGGGCCACAGAGGTTGACTGGGTAGCTGTGACTACATGGTCTGTCAATGCTACTGTAACAAAAATATGATAAACTTAATGAACAATCCATCACATTTCCTATTCATGAGATTTTTAATCCAAGAGACATTGAAATCACTAATATCCTAAACTAAATTAAGGATCTCAGCAAGCAGGCATGTCAGTCTGTAGGTCTGTCTCAAAAACATTTTAACTTTAATGACATACATGCATGATAGGGCATTCATACCGTATAAGTAGAATTTTTAGCGAGGATTTAATTTTGGCATTATTAGCGAGGGTGTCAAAATCGCTAAAATTGAATACCGCTAAAAATTAATTGCGTTTTATTTGTAATAGTTTCTTTAATGTGCATTTTAAAAGCGCTAAAATAACATCTCGCTAAAAATACATTACCAGTTTTTAAGGACGAATCGCTAAATTTGCGTCTCGCTAAAATTTCCACTTATACGGTATTTGACACAGTATGCCAAAATAATGACATTTCATCCACAAAGACACTGAAAGCTGGGAGCAATTCTTTGAAATAGTTTTTTTTTTTCTTTACAGGAAGAGCCCTTCACTTACATGACAGTGGGATTTGTCCTTGTGACCTCTGCTGCACTGTCACAGGACAATCTTTATGTGCCAGGAGCAAGGTCTTCAACTGGGCTACTTCTGCTCTCAGTGAATTGACCTCAGTCTGAAAGTAATAGGTTTCATTAAAGATAGACTATGCAGTTTAGGTTTCAATGGACAATGTAGTTAGAATGTCACTTTCTCTAAACAAGAGCAAATTTCAGAACTGTTTCAATTTCTTCCATGGAAAAGTGTCTTCAAACTTAACTACTCCTACTTTGTGTAAAATTTAAAATTTCCTATTGATTTCAATTCCCCTTTTAGATATCCTTTCATAATTTGTAATTTAAAACTCAAGAAATCCATTTTCTTAAGAATTGTTCACTGATGTTTATGTAGGAGACTGCTAACCTGGAGTTTGTTGTTTGTAGTCTGGAGTTCGTCTCCCTTTTTCTCCAGGTTGGTGATCCAGTTCTTTCTCTTCTGTCGACATCGAGCCGCGGCGGCGCGATTTCTCTCAAGGAACTTCTTTCTCCTGTCATCTCCTTCGTCATCCTCTAATCTTGATCGCTTACTAAAAGAAAAATCAATGAGTATGCAGATGAACTTCACACAACTTAATTATTTAATACCCACTTCTATAGTCACATTCAATGACCTACAATTGAGAGACTGCACACATTTACAGAATCATGCATAGGTCTTTTTTTTAAAACCAGACATTCTGACTAGAGCATGCTGGGAAGAGGAATCACCTTCAGTGACCGATATTTGTGAAAGTGGGAAACAATGAACATTATAGTTTCCAGATTTCTGTATTGCTTCTATTATAATACAACAGTATACACATTTAGATAACAGTTGGCATAAAAATTTGGCAACGCTCTTCTAACCAGTTTTTTCAGTTTAATTTGATTGGAACTATATAGGTTCTTTATGTCGTGTGGAATTAATATTAGATCTGTGAAAATATGTGTCAGCTTACTTAAAGTGCATTTAAGACAAAACAATAGCTATCCAAGAAATATGCATAAATTTTCTGTCTGCTGATTGAACAATTATCATGTTTACAAGGAATTAAGTACTTGTAACCATGGACAAAAAAATTCCTCTACTGTATTTGATACAAAAACAAGAAAACCTTTTTTCTACACACTTATAAATTTTAAAGATAAAGTAAAACAGTAATACTGTTGTAAAAAAAAATATCCAAGACTTACATGTTAACAGTGGAATCTGCTGCCCCAGGCGAGGGCATTTCTGATTTAATGCTTTCAAAGGACTGAGGTGAAATGGCCTCTACACTGGGAATCCCTGGTGTAATGTCTGGAGATATCTGTAAGCTGATGGGAGGGGTGGTCTGCCTGACCCCCGGGGATATCTGGATTGTGGTGTACCCCTGGGGGGAGTGCTTGCTGACGGGAGAGGGAATAGTCTGTGACTGGATTGCTGCTTTTAATCTCTGTTAAATATTTACAGTATCATCGTTATCTATGATGGCTATTAGACAAACAAAAATGTCACAAGAAATGAAATTAATTTGTTCTTGATAACAATAAAAATCTGTATTGACCATTAGGCCCAAAAAAATTAATCAATTGTTTTTCAGGCCAAAAAAAATCAAAATTCAATGTGGCAGGCAGGCTTTTTTTTTTTTTTTTTTTTTTTTTTTGAAGCAGGATTTAGTCTACACTTTTTTTAAAGTCATTTGTTAAATAAAATGATAATATCTACTAATTCTTAATTTTTGTTCTCTGAAATTAATTATAATATGTATTCAACTTTAAATAATGTTATTCCAAACATTTATTTATAAGTTAAGTTATAAAATACTGTAGATTTAGAAGAAAGATATTGTTTTTCTAATAAAAACGTCTATCTTAGCATATGATAACTCGATTTTCATTTTCAACTTGGAAAAATTGAAAATTGAGTTATTTCCCTTTTCAATATGTCAATAAAATTGATCAACGCGGCCGTTTTTGAACTGATTTGGCGGTGCCTGAGAAACTATTTATTAATTTTTTTTGGTCTTAGAAGGATGTTGAAATCACATAATTGACCAAGAAAAATTATGAATCTATTCTACACATGATCACTTGATATTAAGCTTTAATTTTGTGTCTTTCTCCCCAAAAACTTCATAGATTCTAATACTCCTATGTCAAAATATATATTTTAGTTGCATTTATTTGACTCCCTTAACAAGCTGGTCCTAACCCAAATGCCCTCTCTTCCTCCTATCCCCCTGCCCAATCTCTAAATGCCCTGCAATGTTTTAAATGTGAGAATTATGTATTATAACAAACCTGTTTGGTGAGGTTTGTCTGGGATTGTGCTGATACTACTGTCTGAGCCGGTAGTATAACAGTCTGAGGTTGTAGAGCTGTGTTTATCGCTGCCTGTTCCACTCGACTGGTCATTATGCTTGGTTGAACAACCTGGAATCCTGCAGGGGTGCTGGCTGGGATCTGTACGGGGACTGTCTGGCCATTGGGGAGCTGTAGGAAGACCTGCATGGTGTTCTGGGGTGGGGTGGATATGGTTGGGGCCTGCACCTCAGAGGAGCGGGGACTGTAAATCAAACCTCATTTTATTCAATACAGTATAACAATACATAGAAAAGGATTGGGTTGGCGACTGAGCATATAAAATTGAGCCACCTTCTTTTTTTCCTCAAATTTAAACCAATTAGTGACTGTAAATTGTATATATTTAATCCAGTCTTAATGGACATATAATTTTGTAAGAATCCATAAATCATAGGACAATATTTTTTTAAACTACAATTATTCTAATTAAATGCTAATTAACCAAATATATTTGTAAATGATACATCCATTTTAAAATCAATTTCTTTAATCCATTTATTCCATTATGTTGCAATGTGAAAGAGAATCCTTTACTTGCAGTAATAGTAGCATTAACAATACCTAAAGTATGAAAATAATGCCTCAAGAACTGAAAAAACAAACAACAAATGCATCAATCAATTCACTTACGGAGATACAGTGGTGGACTGAGCTGCCGTGACCAATGTAAAACTGCGACTGGAGGGCACGGAACTCTCAGCCTCCACTTGACTGGGAATGTTCAGAGCAGTGGGAACCAGTTTACTGATTTTCTCCTTGGACGCTCCGGATGATATTATCACCATGTCATCGTCAGACACAGTCGTAGACGTCGGTCCAGATGACGCCCTCTCTCTCTTCAGTCGGTTTAGCACTAGTGAGGTCAGATCTGTTTTTGTAGACGTTTCACACAATTTACTTTTATCACTGGAGAGGTCCTCCACCGTGCGGGGGATGGGGGGGACTGGGGTGTTGAGTTCATTGGAGTCGGGGCCGGGGAGGACAGCAGCACTAGGGGTCTACAAAAGGTGTATATTATTTAGCAAGTCATTAAATCTATAATACTGGGTACTTACATATTACATAAACTGTATCTTATTTTTTTTTAGGAAATCAAACCATTTCATATTTTGATAGAAAAGCAATTCTAACATTTATAAATCTTAATGGTCAGTGCAAACAATAATTACTCTGAAAATATTTCCCTTCCAAGATGTTTGGGGAAGCAAACAGCTCTATTTCTATTAATAAGTTTCTTTTTCATTCAAATTAACCATTAAAATTTAAAATATCTCAACCAACAACTAAGAAAAATATTTATTAATACAAACAAAATATCCAAGAATTTGCATTGTACTCATGAAATACATGTAAGAAGAAATTTACAGTAATAATCATCTACATCTTTCCTTTAAGGAATGATACTCAAAGATAAAAAGCGTCTGAATATTGGTCACTTGATGAAAGATGTGAATTGCTTTGAAATACATACATCAGTTTGAGGTTCTGTATCCAATGCCTTTTTAAATGCCTCTTCAAACGGATTTTTTAATTCATTAAACAATCCTATCTCTTCACAGTTCTTCAGGAATTTTGTAGGTGTGGGGGTTTGATCTGAAAATTTTGAACATTCAGTTACACCAATAGTTACTAGCAGATACATCCTAAAATTTTCTTGTAATTTCTTCATTTTTACATAAATATTAATTTCATGCACCAGTGGGTATAAACTGCACTGGAATTGTCAAAAAACCTAATTTTAAAGTACATGAAGTACATGTCCTGAAAAACCTAATTTTCCTACAATCTCTATCTTATCTGTAGCATCTTAAAAATATATTATTACCTCAATACCTGGATGTTTTAAATAAAACTATAGCCAGGTTTTATACTTACCCAAAAATAGACCCGGGGGCATAAGACCAGAGAGGGGTGACTTTCCTGACCCTGGGGTGAGGCCTGTACCCATGTTCAGGGCTAGAGACATCTCATGTTTCCTCATGTGAACAGCCAGATGATCCTCATTAGTGAATTTCTGACAAAACAAATAAAATGGCATGGGATAGAGGCATCAGGTCATAGATTTAACGGTTTCTCATTTTTTCTGTTCCAAACTTATTATATACATGTTAAAGCAATATAAAAACACACACTTGATCTCATTGAACTTCCTAAAATTTTTGCTTTTGAAAACAATAAACATTTTGGTAGCATTCTAACAGAAAGATGTGAAAGAGCAATTTTTTTTAAATGTCTTAATTATCAAGAACTTTATTTCTATATTTTGTCATAATAGTACCATAATTTGTCTATATTTATAGAGAAAGTAAATTAGATCTATATCAGTCCGAATTTGCAACACCCTGTACCTGTCCACAAGCAGGAGCTGAACACACAAATGGTTTATCATCCTCATCCTCCATCTTGTGCTACACAGCCGACAATCTGTTCTGAAAAAAAAAAAACTAAAAAATTGAAATAAAGAGAAATTCCCTTCCAGTGACCTATCACATCATAAAACATCAGGCCTCAGGATCATGAAACAGACTTTGACTTAAGTCAAAATTTCAATAATCCATAAAATGTTTTAAACTTCTTAAATGAAACTCTTCATTTGCGTAAGACAGCAGATTGGTAATACAAAATTGGTAGACATTATGAATTTGGACTACTTAACTTTAAAATAATGCTAGGGCTATATGTAAATTTTGACTTAAGTTTAAGATCATGCTTCATGATCCTCGGTCCAGAGCTCATCTAAACTAATGTTATCTTTAAGTAAGTCAAAGTCTCACATTAAAACTAATAATCTAGTAATGACTGTGAACATCCTAAGATGCAACATTTATGCAACTTTCATCTGATAGGACTTGCAACTACTTGGGAATAGACTTATCCAAAAACTTTACACTAGTCAATCATCCTGAAAATGCTATTCAAATCCAGAATCTGTAGCAAGTTTGAGAGTGTTAATCCTTGAATGCATCATCCATGCAACTTTGGTTCAAATAGTCTTTATAGTTTCTTAGTAATTATAGTGAGCACAGCGAGCAGCACTTAGAGTGAAGAGAAAATTTGATCTTTACACATTGATCCAAACAGTACTATTACCTATGGTCCATGAATACACATGGAGTTAACCGCGAGTTAATCAACCCATCATAGAACTATGGGAATTGAAAGTTGGGAGCCATAGAAGCCATTTATTAGAGTACTAAAATATGAAATACAATCGCTGTTAGGGTTCCACACTGACCACAGTCATTCTTTCTGGCGTGTGAATGAAAGTGATCCCCCCCACCGCACACACTCAAAATAAAGTAAAAAATTATTTTAAAATAGTGTACAATATATAACTAGGTGATAACAGAGGTTTTCATTTTAACTATTAGTGTATTGGTCCGTGATGAAAGCAAAATTAAAGATTTTGACAGTTGCACCAGTTTGTTTACCTTGTATTTTCGATACAAACTGAGTTCTTCTTCAATAAAATAACTACCGGTTTTAAGTGAAGTGATGTTATGTTACATTCTGAGTCATTATTTACAAATAAAATGTTACCATTAATTAACAATCACACAAAATTGATGACTTGCTGAAACACGAAAAATGAAAAAATCTTTTCCTAATGGCGACACTTCCGGTTGAAAGCAATAAGAACTTCAAACCCGATCTTTAAATATCCCTAAAGGGTCATACGAAAATGTAAAGAGATACATCATTAAGCAAAAAGTACAGAGATAATCCTAGATTCTTCATTTCCAACATTAATGCAAGACATAAATACGCAGTTTCTAGATCTTTGAACTTTACACAAAAATTTAAAAGTTTAGTAATTCAGAGTTGAAAAGAAAGAAACATATTTTTTTAATTAAGAAATTTAGCAAAACAAGAAATCTGCTGAAGTCTACAGTCTTAGGGGCTTCTGTAAGGATTCCACCAGGCCCAGCTGCCTTTTAACCCTTTATTAGTTAACCCAACGCTATTTCTGGTCCATCTTCGCAAAACCACTGCCAAAAGGTACGATCCCTCCCGGCATTCTGGGAGAGGGCTATAGATATGCGGACTCCGGACCGTGGCTTGAGACGATGTCTTTGGTCATGTAGAGGTTTTTGAATAGATTCTACAGGTCCTTTAATAATGGAGCACTATTAGGGCCCACTGGTATTCCAACTGTTTGTTGGTAGACCACTGAGGTCTTCGAAGACCACATAAATGTTTTCAATGAAGAATCCAGCGTCCTTATTTAATAACATCAACCTCAGAGTATAGTAGTTTGTATCATCAACGTAGTCTTTAACAAAGAAATTACCAATTATAATTTTAGACTTCCATTTTTATTTAATAAGCAGTTGTTTATGGTATCAAAAATCATAGTTTAATTTTTCGTGAGGAATGTTGTATAAAATGTAAAAAAAAAAAAAAAATGTACGTTATGATGTTACTGACTTAAAAAAAAGGTTAATTAGAGAAAAACATGCGACCGGATATTTTTTACACGTGCACTATATATTTTAGAGAATAAGGTCTACAGTGTAGGCTAGCCAGTGGAAATACGTCTCTTTACATTTCTTGATAAAAACAGATTCATGTATTATTGAAATTTTGTAACACATAAAAGCTTTTTTTCTTTACTTTCTTATTGTGTTCAAGAGGTGCTACACGATTGTTAAATCTAAAATATTGTCAAAAGAGTTTTGTTTTTGTTTTTAATTTTGTTTGTATAACAAGCTTCAATGCAGCCTTCAAACCCCCTGCCTTCTTCTGCGAAAAGTATCTAATCCTAATTACACGGAATGTACCCCTCCCCCTCCCCAGAATATCGCACTTATTTGTACTTTGAGAGGAAACGCAATGCAAACTGTTTATTACCATTGTCTTTTACGATAATTTCTCGACACAACTCAAATCGTTAGCATTTGAAAATCCGCAAAAGGTTGTACAGATTTTGGCGCGCTTTAGCATTGTTACGTAGGGTGAATCGATTCGTAATTAATTTCCGTTATAATACGTAACATACAGGCTACATTGGGATTATCATGATTCATAAGGGATTTTTAAAATAATTCTGATCAGGTGAGTGAAATTCAAATTACAAATGTATTTATTTTAATGAATCTTTGTGCAGAGGACTGCAGTGGTCTGCAAAAAGTGAACTTGTAAAACTACGAAGCTAAAAAGTAACGATCGAAGTTTAGGGGTCTATTTTTTTTTTAAATTTCAAAGATTTTGTTTGCCTATTTTACTTCGGAAAAAATTTGAAGTTCTTTTTTTTTTTTTTTACGAAATTATTTAATGACGTTACTAAGGGTGACGCAGGGTGAGTCGTTGTGTTGTGACAACAAGCTCATAGTAACGGCATCAGTCGTAGCGAACGGATGTGCAAAAATTTCAGAGCGAAAAAAACTAAAAATTGACAATGAAACGACGACTTTCATCTGAGGATTCCTGTACTGAAGGGAACATAATGGTATATATTACCTTTATGAATATTCTTTTAGTTACATTATTTACCAAATGTGGAAATATTCCATGAAGTAAAAATTCATGAGTACTCCGTGTCCTAGATCAAACTCGAAAGATAATTTTGAGGTTCAATTTCGCCAGACATTAAAACACAAGGGTTCCAAAATTACACCAAAAATAATGAATGTAAATTAAAACTTCCACTTTTTAATTTTACAAGTATTTTACGAACGATTGAAAAGATCAGTACTGTTATAGAATTTCTGTAAAAGATAAAAATGCATGTGTGCATTTATTTTGTTATCTACTAAGCTACATGTAACGTCCTGGGAAGGGGGGGGGGTCCCGAATTTTTATTTTTTTTTTTTTGTTTTTCTTACACTTTATTAGAAGAATTTTTGAATTCTTTCTTGTTCTAAAAGACAGACACAGATCCGTGAAATGCAGAACCTACTTTTTCTGAAAATTAGTCTTGATAATGTAGATTGACATTTTGAAGCTGCAAACTCTCCCCTTTATTTTCTTTCTGTACGATCGAACACAGAAAATGTCTTCATTTCAAAATAATCAACCGAAAAAAGGAGCAATACTAGTATCCCCGACCCCTTTCGGAAAGAATTTTCGAGTTTGAAAAGTTTCCTTTTTTATTTTTTTTTTTGTTTATTTATTTTATTATTATTTTTTGCTTGTCATTTTTAATAAGCTATGAAAAACGTTGAAACGGGCATAAATGAATCATTTTTGTAAAACTTTTTTTCGAAAGTTTGTTTTTACGAAAATATTATAGGCCCCTATTTTCAATGACGTTGCTAAGGGTGATGATGCAGGGTGAGTCGT